GTTGCATGCTAAAACACAATAGCTCTTGGCCATAAAAATGTTTTAAAATATCCATTTGAACGTGGTTTGCGAAAATTTTGCGAGCGTAATACATATATCAAAAATTTTAAAGGTTATCAATGATTTGTATGCGCAGAGGGATTGATCGATCGACATTGAATTTAGATCGAACGAGGTCGCTTTCTTTTAAAATAGAAGGATAAACACAGACGGTACATAAACCCGTGAACATGGAAATACCAAGTGCGTGAACTTTCGATCCCGACAAACAAACGATAACATGTGTGTCAGTATTCGTTAGGTTTCGTTACAAGAGGTCGATGTCGAGTGTTCTAGTGAATTTATGGGCCGATTGTGGTTATCCGTAAAAACAATACGTCATATAGTTCACGAAGGTATAGTCAACTAGTCAGCGTAGTGTGGGATTCCACAAGGAACTATTATTGGACCTTCCAGTAACTTTGAAAATTTTTGTTGCATTATTTCAATATTTTAACTAACGAAAATTGTCCTTGCTGTACATAAAACTATGTAGCAATTAATCTTACAAGAATCACGAGGTTTAATTTCAATCAGAATTTTGAAACGACCAATTAACGCTAACACGTGTTCACAAATATATCGCCTCTTTCCACAACTATGCGACATCGTTTTCGAAGAGTACGTTTTGTAATTACGCGAGATTACAGACAGGTTGTTTGTTAAGGCCAATAGTGAACGTTTCGACCTTCACATTGCCTGTACTGACCAGAGCCGTGTCGTCACAGCGGCTTTCGCAGACTACCAACTGCTGTGGGATCTTGACTTATACAATATTTTTATGAATGTACGTCTTGCTCTATAAATGTACAAAAAAGAATTTTTTTACCTGTCGGCACGGTTAATTGCATGAAAATAATTAGTTTAAATATAATTATAACCAATTATAATTCATATCATTATTCAGTATGCACAAAATCGTATCGTTCATTAAAGATGTCTGCACGTATTAAACTAATAGGATTGCAATCAGCCTACGCATACATTTGGAAGATATGTAAACAGTGAGCCTCTGTTTTGCTATTGCCAATTTGCATAAATTAATTTTAAGAGGACAGTGCAATGATTATATTTTATATTAATAGCACTATTAATTGCTTATGATTATGCATTTCTAACAATTTTAATATTTTGCTATCTATAACAGTAATCATATTTCATATACATTTTCTACAATATGCTACGCATTTCTCCACACCAATTTTCCGCAGTTAACTATGCGAAGAATGTTGAGCATTATAATAGCACTGATCGGGACCCGGTGCAGATTGTATGGGCTGCGAGGTTTCAACAACGAGAGATAAATTGCACATCTCACGAGACAGCCTCCACGCCAACGTTATTGAGCTGTTACACAATCATTTTTATTATGTTTATTAAAGAATTTTCCTCTGCAAATAAGGTTTTATCTTACGTCTTTATTCTAGCATTTGTGTTGTCATTATCAAATGTTGGTTAGTATTTTATGGTAACGCGGAAACATGTTTGCGATAGCTAATGTAGAGATGTCATTATCTCTACTGCTGTTTGCACATAGAGTTGTACTTTGTGATGTGACTGTTCCTATTATGTTCATTTATGAAGCTCTATTCAGGGCGAGAGTTGACTTGAATAGAATCTTATGAAGCAAAGGTACCTACTATATTCTAGATAACTGTACCCTCTCATTCTCTGAGTCACAGTGCTTCCTCGTCGCCGGTCGTATCTTCCCTGTCAACGATAACAGATGTCTTATGTTTTAGAATAGTCACTGATCCAATATCTTTATCGGTCAGTAAATTCATTTCGTGTGTACCTATAGTTCTCAATGTTATCTCTCGTGATTCACCTCTATCAGGCAAGTCAAAATGAATAGCTTGTTAATTACTTATTTAATTACTCCATTCTGCTTATCTATCAGTTGTCTGCAACAGGTTTCATTAAGTCACTGTGATTTAGTATGGTATCAACAATAGCTATTATTGTACCAATCTATCTATTTTTATAATGACTATACTAAGACAAACAGTTTTGTTCGAAGTCTGGAACGTTGACTGTTAAAATGTAACAAATTGGTGAAAATAAATAAATGTGTAGCAGGATTGTGTTTAGAATAAGACGCAGCTACGTAAGCACTGTTGTTCACAGACTATTGGAACTGCTGTGCAAACACTAACACTTATAATTTTCGTTCTATGAATCGTGTAAATCTTAGACATGGCCGTTTTAGTAGTTTACAAATTCGTATGCAGACCTCGCTTCATTGACAATAACAAGATCATTTTTAGTATCAGTAATTACTACGACGAGGTATAAAACATCAATATCAAAGTGTGTTGTTCTAAAATGTTTACTCTCGTAATTTTCTTTATAAGTGTGAGTCACATTATTGTTGTTTACTATGTAAATATTTGTAACAACAATATCAATTGCATTACTCAGTCCCGTCACTCAAGTTTGTGTATCTTGAAATTGTTTTTGTTAGCTTTGATTGCTTCTTTGATCCAGTCACCAAAAACTCGGTAAAAGTCTGACAGTCCAAAAGCACTCTAGGGAAGACCAAATGGCACCATAAGAATTTTTCACTATCTTGGGGTCAAAAAAGGGGATCAAAAACGTGACTGCTTGAAATTGAGTGAACGTGTCGATTTCTGAGATTGAGCAAAATGCTGTTAACGTTGAAATTAAAAGGGATACGACCCTAATTATCGCAATAAAGCTGACCTTATTAGGATTATGCCAGTTAATTGCGAAATGTAGGCGTATTAAACAACAAAATAATGGTGATGTTATTTATGTTGTCATCAAAATAGGAGTATTTGTATCGATATGTGTGTTTGTTAGGGTGATGTCATAGATACAATCGCAGATTTTAATGAAGGACGAAATGAAACTTACAATGTAAGACTGTTATATGACATTGAGGTACGATTGTATATTCGGCCGTATACTTTAGTTCACACTGCGATATAATTGCATCGCGTATTATAATTTTATACGAGTCGTTTTGTTGGTCAAATAGACACTAAGCTCGGTTAATGGCGGCATTGTGTCGATGACACAGATTCTGTACACCGACGTCGAGTAAGTCGCCATTATTCTAATGATTATACTATTGTTTTAATTTTACTTATGATCATGAACACTTTGGAAATTGTTGTAGTTTGTTGTAGAATGTATAATAAAAATACCAAAATGAATCGCTACAAGACTTTCGAGTGCATGTTAGTCATCATCGGTACGTAGCAGCTTGTAGCACAGGCCTGTATTTATTATTATCGGGGAGAGTTCTTTCGTTTACTGGAACACTTAGGTAGACTGTATAAATATATTCGCAGAGCCGAATTTAGATTATAAACTCAGGTAATGCCGAGTTAGGAACCAGCCTATTGTAGAAATGATAGAAAGAAGTAATAGAAGATTCAAGTAAGACAGAACAACAAACAATTTTCTGTAAAATCATAGTGTAAGTTAATGAAAAAGATTGACATAAATATTTTAATGAAATAAAATGTTAATGTCAATTTCGCTGTCGTATTGGGTAATTTAGTAGTAGAACACACAAGACGTGCGGCGTGCCCAGTGAGCAAGCATTGTTTCGGCTATGAGTCACGTAACGGGCCACGACAGCATCAATCACACTTTCTGTTACTTCATTGTGATTTAGAGGCTTAGCCACAACAACCGTTTGGAACGTGATTTATTACTACCGTGTGTACGCTGTTTAATAATAGAGCATAAGTGTTCATTGTCCACTAATTGCCGCTAATTGTTATTGATACTTTATCACGTCGACCTAAGGTGTAAATTACAATACATTCATTTGTTCTTATATTTAAACGCTGGCATTGATCAGAATGTTTGTATTACTTTGTATATTTATAAATTGAGTGACACAGAAAGTAAGACATCAGAAGATAGCGATGTTTTAGTAATTGAATGAAGGCACGCGCGCGGCGTGACTGCCAGTAAACTCATTGTTATTCGCACAAACAACAAACATAAAGACACAACATTGAAGAGTAAACTTTTATCGTAAAAATGATCTGTAAAGTTCATTGGAATGGTAGAAAGTATTGCCCTGGGCCGTTGTTTCCACAATCTCTAATGGCGACCTGTTGCGTGCTCACGGATTTAGTACAAGCAACAGCTAGTCTGACAGCGGCACAATGTTCCCACCGATAACATGGACTACAATGACGTTGTTGAAGTTATTGTGTTTTTTGTAACACGGTTGGTCAAATAGTGCTAGTGGAATTTACGCACACCTACCCATGGACAGGTGTACTATACTGACGGTACTTGTTACTTATATCTAACTGACGTCGTACTCATGTACATGTGTGTGATTCATGACGTAAGCACTTGAACGTAATCATTTCTCTATAAATCTCTATGACTACTGCTTTTACGATACCTTCGGATATCACGATATCGCGACAACGCAAATTGTCTACGCTTGTTTTTATGACTTTTCTCAATTAAAGTTTGTATGTCGTCAATTCAGTGCACTGTTGCAATCTGACGCAGTAGGAGCCATGCATAGCATTGCGCAACGAATAAATATTGACGCGATGACATGCCGGTATCATAACCGTGAGAATTTGTCACAGTTGTTATGCAATCGCAGTTTAATTAAACCTGTTCGTGGGTAATATGGAGGTAAAGTCTAATAACCGAGTAATGTTGTCGCTTAACTTGTTACTAAGCATTTTTAAGATTATTCAAGTTTAATGCCCATAATTTTGCCTGTCTAATAAACGGTGTTGAGTACAGGCTCTTGTGCCGTGTGTACAGTACGTAAAATGCTGCGGAAACAAACATGTCAGCAATGTAGTTCCTTAACATTTCTCCGCCATCGGACCAGAGCTATTAGCGTGATACACGCGTCGTATAACCTCTCTACATAACGCAGATTATGCATGAAAATCAGTGGAGCTGTTCGTAACACATTATTGATTGTTTCTATTTCTGTCCCACAGATCAGCGGAGCGATATGTTAGAGTGAAATGGCGAGATGTACGCGTTGGGGATCTAGTCCACCTGTCGAACAATGAGCCGGTGCCCGCAGACATGGTGCTGCTACACTCTTCCAACCCTCTCGGGATATGCTACCTCGACACCTGCAACCTCGACGGGGAGACCAATCTCAAACAGAGGCTGGTCGTCCCCGGCTTCAAGGAAAAGGTACTTCTACATCTAAGTATTTACCCGTCTTCTAGTAAAGGGATTCCAAAAATGTTTACCGTTTTTGCATAATGCTCAGAAATGTGGAAAGAAAGCGCGTACCTAAGTAATTATAAAAGCATGCAGAATATTTTGCTCGTTCAGAAGATTAAATGGTCGTAAATAACAATGAATACTGCTACTTATTATCGATTTTGTGAAAGAAAGACCATGCGTAGTTTATATTTTTGTATCAAAGTTATTTTCGCTTTTGCTCTGGTATATTGTGAAACTCGATAGATACAATCTTATAAATCCGTCGTGTTGCTCAAGTGTCACGGGGACGCCGATGTTATAATTGGATGAACAACATAATGCTGTTTTTAGTTTTTGTTTGCCGCGCGTGTCATGCAAACCAACGAAAAAACCAGAGCGTGGGAATACTTTCTCCAATACTTGTAAAATATCACAATAGTCGTTGTAGTAGCACGAGTCGCGTCCCACTTTAGCAAATCGTTTGTTTGGCCTTAAATGGTTTTTATTTATTTTTTCACAGCATTCAGAGTTCAGCCCGATAAAGTTCAGAAGTTCTGTGGAGGTAGAGAGGCCATCTACAAAAATATACAGATTCACAGGCTGTATCTCACACCCAAACGGAGCGCGAGTGCCGCTCACCTCGGAGAACCTACTTCTGCGAGACTGTACCATCAAGAACACGGACTATGTCGAGGGCATCGTGGTGTACGCGGGCCACGAGACTAAAGCGATGCTCAACAATGGAGGACCAAGATATAAATGTTCAAGTTTAGAGAAAAAAATGAACACAGATGTGATATGGTGTGTCTTAGTGTTATTATTTCTTTGTTGCGCCGGCGCAGTCGGTTGCAAGATGTGGTTGGACCAATATTACGTTACCATGTACAAGTATACCCCGTTTATAACGAATGTGAACAAACCTGCCTTCGAGGGGCTGCTCATATTCTGGACTTACATCATAACGATGCAGGTGATGATCCCTGTCTCGCTGTACGTCACGATAGAGATGACGAAGTTGCTGCAGGTGTACCACATACACAACGACATTCAGATGTACGATCCGGACACGAACACGCGGACGGAGTGTCGAGCGCTGAACATAACGGAGGAGTTGGGGCAGGTCGCGTACTTGTTCAGTGACAAAACGGGCACGCTCACTGAGAACAAGATGTTGTTTCGGCGGTGTGCGGTCAACGGAGTGGACTACGACCACCCGCCCGGCCCGCCCGCAGAGCCCGCGCCTGAGTTGCCGCCCATCGTCACCCCCATCACAAAAATCTCTCCGAACAGACGGATGCTACAACACCTAGGCGACAACAATGACGCTCAACACACGCAGAAGGTAACTTTTTAAATCAATTCGTATTTACTTCTCATCAGTCGGTATGAAATACATTGACACGTCGGCATAACGTTTTAGGTCCGCGAGTTCCTGTTAATCCTGGCTGTATGCAACACAGTGGTGGTCAGCCAGCCACACATTGACACGATGCAGATGAGCGCGTCCAACTCTGGAGAACAGATCTCCACGGGGAAAGCTTCCCGATCGAATGGAACATTGCGATCTAACGACAAGTAAGTTAAAAGTATCAATTTAATAAGTCAATAAGACACGCGTAACAGTACTAATAGATCCAATAATTTGTTTAGAAAAAACTATACCGACAGACATTAAACAAAAAAATGTATCAAACAAACCACAATCAAAACTGTAGTTAAATGTTATTAATAGTGTACCCACGAGTCAACAAATACTTTTTTGTTCAACTTTTTTTACCAATTATGATTGAGTTGTTATTTAATTCGTTGTTCTAATTTAGACCAGCCTGTCAAATGTCCTTGAGACTTCTTATAGAGGTATAAGTAAAGCAAGTCTGTACTGTCCCTGAAGGTTTATATGAGGTACCTTTTTTATTCAAAATGGTAATGTTGCACTTACTGTCTCAGTTTTAAATTGTCGGACAAAGTATGCTTATTTCGTAATGAGATTCATAACATAAATAATGAAAAATGGCTGTTACTCGTATACGTGCAACTAGGGTAAGGGTGATCTAATAATGATACTTGTCTATTGTCACCAGATACGCTCGACTAACGGAGTCCAGATCGACGACTCCGTCACCGCCGCCGTCCACGGGCTCCCCCCTCAGGCTGCGGCTGCCGAAGCTCATGCTGGGCAGCAAGGAGGACACCAGCACTCCCAGCACTTCCATCGATCACTCCGCCGTAAGTATAAGTAAACACGTTTGACACATTTAAGGAAGTTGTATAAAAAAGGGTTTACTCTTGAATCTAATTCCGATTGATCGACTTACTCTTGGGTAGTAACACTAGCGCCCATTGCGTCCGTATTGCGTGGATATTTAATGAAATAAATGCTAATGAGTTAAGCTTTATATTCCGTACTGTGAATGCTATTTTAACAGCTACGATAGGGGTTGTATAGTTTTGACATTCAATAATTATTGAAATTTTATTCGATTGACATTGATATTGGTTTCAAGCACCTAGGTTACTAAATGGGACTATTATAACTGAGACTTAACACGAGTTCGTTTTACGTTTGACGAGATCGAAACGACACCGCGTTCGGCGCTCGGATTGGTTGGTTCACTAGAGCCGGCCAATCAGAGCACCAAACGCGTTTCAATATCATTGAAACGGAAAACAAACTAGTACTAAGACTTCTGTTAATAGTTATGATAAGGAAAAATTCACTAAACTACTAATTTTAGAGCAGGACTACTCAATTTGATCAAAAAATATATTAGTTTTAATGTTATTGCTAAATGAACAAAGAACGAAATGATATTGTGCTCTTTGCTTGCATGATTTCCATTTACTAAAGAAATATGCTTTCTCCAGTCAATCCGCTACGAAGCCGAGAGTCCAGATGAGCTGGCGTTGGCTGAAGCAGCTCTTGCCTACGGGTATGAGTTGCGGTCCAGGTCACCTGATGAGGTAGAGCTCGGCATCCGAGGGGAGCTCACCAAGATGAAGGTGCTTAGGGTGCAGCAGTTCGATGCCACCAGGAAATGCATGTCAGTCGCCATGAGGACCCCTAATGGACAGGTTAGTTGTGTTGTAACGGATATTAAGTTTTAGCGCATTCAGTTTTAGGTTGAAATTGCTTTGTTGTTATGGGTTGGTTAAATTGGTTCTGTCAATCGAGGCTATTGCTGAAAGTTTAATTGCTTTTGTTATTATATTGATCTACTTAACCTAAACCGTCGTGGTGGCCCGGAGGTTTAAGACGCCCGCTTCTCATGCATAAGGGTGCGTGTTCGAAACCTACCAACGGCAAGTACCAATGTGACTTTTTCCGAGTTATATGTACTTTTTAAGATTATCTAGACACCACTGACGAACTGTGAAGGAAAACATTGTGAGGAAACCTGGCTTAGAATTTCTAATTATAAGTTTGAATTCGCCAACCCGCATTGAGCAAGCGTGGTGATTAATGCTCAAACCTTCTCCGTGTGAGACGAGGCTTTGCTCAGCAGTGGGCATTTATAGACTGTCGATGATGATGATTAACCTAAGATTAATCAAGGCGTAACAACGACGTTACATCCATATTTTTATGAACCTTTAATAGAGGTACAATGCTAATAAAACTTCTTGACGCATTCGTTCTCGAAACACCTAGTAAGTTTAGGGGACTTTTTGTTTACCGAATTTCAATCGAAGTAATCCAAATTAATAGTGTTTTGATAGCAGATACGATTAAGGATCAATATTTGATAATCAGTAGGAAAACACAGCATAAATAAATACTTTTTTCTGATTAGATAAATAAGTAATCTTAAGGAAATTATGGTATATCTATTTTATTTATAAATATTACATATACGATTAGGTATGTCGGTTAATTATCGCTTAATATCATAGTTATCAGTTTAACCGTAATTTCATGACGTTAAAGACCGTTTTTGTTTGTTCAAGTATGCTATGAATCCGGTGTGTTCCGAATATATCCAGTATTTAAAGAAAAATAACAATCTATGTTTATCTAAATAATAAATTTCACTTTTATTATGCTAGGATTAAATGTAGTCATGGAAGAGATACGAAAATATTCCAACATTGTAGTGACCTTCTGTGAATTTTGCCAAAAGTTTTGTTTTGGCAGAAGTGTCCGTATGTACAGTCAGCCCAGTTATTAGGCACTAATATTGATTCAATACAGAGGCCGTAACCATTTGTCGGCTACTGAACCGATCTATGGTTATAACAGAGGCCTTAGTACGAATTTCTTTTACGTTCAAAGTAATCGTAACGAGTACGCGTTCAGCGCTGTGATTGGCCGGCGCCAATGAACCAACCAATCAGAGCGCCGAACGTGTTCTCGTTTGGATTACTTCTAACGTAAAACTAACTCGTACTAATAAGCCCTCAGATGTATATGGCTTCGTTGAAAACCATATAATTCAGTGCAACAATACCTACCGTCTCTATACTGAGTCAATCTTTATTTTCTTACAGCCCAAATTTATAACCAAAATCTTCGGATTCAAATAGAATGTTGACATAAGTTTAAGTCTAACTGCCGATAGAAAACTGTTAAGGGCAAATCCTTTGCTAACGTCGTCGGTCACCGTGACCCCCATGGCGTTTGATGTGGTAATGAAGTGTCTGTAAAAAACTTACATTCGGATTCAAAATTTTAATTTGGCTGACGTACTTACCAAATAACTGGGTTGAGTGTATGTATGAGTGTGACGCCCCCACTGTTTCGTAACACTTTCGATGTCACGGACAAACGGATCACGACGCGTGCCATTCTGGATATATTGTTTTCGATGTTATGACGTACCTACATACATGTTTAGTGGAACGAGGAACACTGTTTTGCATAAAACATCTCTTTACCGAAGGCAGAGAGTCAGTTTTGTTTCGTCACGCTTTCACTTATCAACACATGTCCATTGAGTTTGTATTGAAATCGATTATCAATCTCGGATATGCCATCCAATCCTTGAGACAACCAATCCTGATCTCCCCTAATTTTATAATGACCCTTAATTTCTTTATAAAAACGTGGGTAATTCAGATCAATAAAATACAACATAGAAATTCTTGACTTAAGCACGTAACTGTTTCACGGGGAACTCGACTAGTTTCAAGCCATGCTAGGGGCTCATATTCATGAGCAGCATTCCGCGACACACGACTCGACATTAATTTAATATGCCTCACGAATGTTATATTATAATACAAACCTAGAAATCCTATTGATATCTTTTGCGTGTGCTACATAACAAAACGAAGCCATTGTAGAATAATAGCCATATCAACCGATGCCGATACTAGGAACTATTGTAGCGACGGAAGTCGTGTACCAAATAAGGTTTTTATTGAAAACACTCAAGAATTTATTAGTTACAAGAATTTTGTGTGTCGACATACTAGACATACTTCATTATGTCCCGTTTGTCAAGTGGTCGCAAGTACGATAACTAAGCAAACGGTCTCAGGTTTTGTTCCGGGGTTGGGCAAAATATTATTGAAGTGTCAATTTTTTTAATTCTCAGTATTTTTCTTTTTTAATTCCCAGGTAGTGATATACGTGAAAGGGGCGGACACAACGGTCCTAGGCGCCTTAGCTCCGATGCGCGCCGGCTCAGCCGAGCTAGCCGCTTACGATAGAACCCGAGCGCTTCTTTCAGAGTACTCTCGCGCGGGTCTACGTACGCTGGTCATGGCTAAACGAACGATGCAACCTGCTTTGTGGGAAGAATGGTTAGCTGGACATAATCGTGCAATGGAAATTGGAGAAGGTAAGCTTAGCCGGTTCTATTACATGATTTTATAATTAAATTGTTTTGAATATTATTGATAGGAACTGTAATTTGATGTGCTTGTCCCGTTGAGTGGTCGTAAGTGTAACTTCCGAGCGAAGTGTCTCGCGTTTAGTTATAAGGTATGACACAATAATCTGAATCTGAACCCGTGAATGGTATTAGACTCAACTCCTATCATATGGGCCTCATAACATAACCAAACATTACACTACCAATTTGCTTTGAGTACGCAAAAAGTACAGTTTCACGTGTATTACCGTAAAACTTATTAAACATATGAATTCTGTTTACGCAGGTCGAGAAAAACGTATGCGGGAATCTCTAGCTCGGTTAGAAAGCGCGCTAACGTTGGTCGGAGCTACAGGCGTGGAGGACAGACTCCAGCAGGACGTGCCGCGCACCGTGCGCGCTCTACTGGACGCGGGCATCGTGGTCTGGGTACTGACGGGAGACAAACCAGAGACTGCCATCAATATTGCATACTCAGCTGCCTTGTTCTCCCAAGGAGATCGGTTGCTGCATCTCATGTCTAGAGACAAGGTTAGTTCCATCTACATTTTTTGTTTTTTTTTTTAATTTTGGTGGCGATGGTAGTCTCGATATTGATAACGACAGAATTGGAACGCTATAGCGTGAATTTTGTAAATAAATTTTCGACCTTGTCATTTTTGTAATAAAGTTGAAAATATATAAATAGTATTGCGACTTTAGCTGATATAGACATTTATTATTATTATTACTTCTTTTTTTTTAAAAGCATCCAGTGTCATTTATTACATGCTTGATTTAATCAATCTCGGAGGATCGTGACTATGTAATCTGTGATGTGTAATTATGTGTACAACTTGTAGCAGGATTAATAAGATTAATTAAACAAGTTGTTATTATTTAATTCCTTGTTGCTATTTATCATTTATGTAAAATCCAACTGCATGTATTTAAGTATAATTATTTTACTTAATCTTAATATTGTAATGAGGCAATGATTAGAATGCAATCATTATACCTTGACATGAATTGTATTAAAAAGTAGGTATTATTTTCCCATGTTGTTTGTATGTAACAAGTTAGTAACAGTCACTTGACAATCAGCTGATTCTTTAATATCACTTCCAAATACTATATAGCACGGGGAAATGCTGTAATCTCAAGTTGAATAGAGTTCAGTCTCTATTCTTAGAAGTATTTATGCCATTTTAGTTTGGCTATATCGAAAGTAGGTTTTTATTCCAAACTGTACATTTATATGAAGGAAATGAAGCAAGACAGTAAATAAGAGCATGCGTGTCTGCAGGAGCACGCGGAGTCGACGATAAAGAACTACCTGGAGGGCAGCGGCGCGGGCGCGGAGCTGGGCACGCGCGCGCTGGTGGTGGACGGGCGCACGCTCACGTACATCCTGGACCGCCGCTCCGGCCTCGTCGCGCCCTTCCTGTCGCTCGCGCGACGCTGCTCCGCCGTGCTCTGCTGCCGCGCCACGCCGCTGCAGAAGGCATACATCGTCAAGGTACCATTGTACCATACACACGTACACTTACACGACAACATATGGAAATAAATTACATAAGTGGTAGTTATTCCGGGTATTCATTTCATGTCAAATATAAAGCTTACTTCTTCTTATGTAATGTTACAGACTGCCTATGTTCGCACATGGTTGCTATCTTTTCAGTTTTCAAAGGCCAAAAGGTTAATACGGTAATTACGTTAACTTACGTCTTTCCATACAAAAAATGACTTCATAATTTATGTATGCATTTAAAGTTAAAAAATAATGTATCAAATATAAAATTTGAAAAGCTCGCCTTACTTTAAATAATGTTTGGTTAGTATTATAAAATTTAACTAAAATGGCGGGTTACTCTCGTGAATATACGGAGAAAAGCTCTACTAGTTTCGAACCACAGAGGGGTTCTTCCTCATGAGCAGCGTGTGCGATCGCGGCGACATCGTACCCCTCTGTGGTTTTAGTTATTTTAGTTAATTTAGTACGTCTCACGATAGTTATTATAAAAACATAATAACATTTGTGTATATAATCTGCAGGCAGTGAAGGAGGAGCTAGCAGTGACGACGCTGGCGATAGGTGACGGAGCCAACGATGTCTCCATGATACAGACCGCAGATGTCGGAGTCGGTGAGTCACTTTATACTTACTTTGAACTAAATGACCATAATATAGTGTTAATCTTCGTTTATTAAAGAGTTTATGTACAACTGAAGATGGGAACCCCTTCAACTGATAACAAAATTGAGAAATATAGAAGACTAAAGATTTAATAGGACTTGGTGACATCGTCAGAGTCATGGGCAACCGATAGAACAAATAGCGTAGCAAACCAAAGCAAAGGTTCAGCTGAAGATATCCTTAGAGGCCTCAATACGAGATTGTTTTACGTTCAGTGCTCTGATTGGTTGGTACATTGGAGCCGGCCAATCAGAGCACTGGACGCGGTCTCGTTTCGATTACTTTAAACGTAAAACAAACTCGTACTAAGCCCTCTGAATAATAATGATAATTTGTAACTTAAATTCTTATTACTACTAGCATAAAGTCCAAAATCGATAACCTACAACTGTAATAAACGCATACATTTATCTCGAACAGGTATATCAGGACAGGAAGGCATGCAAGCAGTGATGGCGTCAGACTTCGCAGTGTCCCGGTTTCGGTTCATAGAGAGACTACTACTGGTGCACGGACACTGGTGCTACGACCGCCTCGCTAGGATGATACTCTACTTCTTCCTTAAAAATGCTGTAAGTACCTAAAGTTTATAATGATACTAGCTACTTCCGCGCGGTTTCACACGCTCTGCTCAGCTCCTGTTGGTCGTAACGTGATGTTTTATAGCCTATAGCCATCCTCGATAAATGCGCTATCCAACACAAAAAGAATTATTCAAATCAGACTTGTAGTTACGGAGATTAGCGCGTTCAAACAAAAAAACAAACTCTTTCGCTTTCTAATAGTATAATATGTGGTCGAAAAACGAAACTATTCATTTTTTTATGTGCAAAAGTATTTTTAATTGTGTATTCTACTGTACCTACGTCATTATGTCACTGAAAATAAATTCTTGTGGCAAAGTGACCCTTTGGGGGTTTTTAAAAACACAGGAGCTACAAGGACAATAAATGATACAAATTGCGGTGCAAACCTGCCACCTAATGCACCGATACGCTTGCCTAACCAGTTAAAGGAGTTCTCAGTTACGATTTTAACAATAAATTCTAGTAATTATTGTACCACAAATGATAATGTAATCTAATAATAATTATTGTTTGTCCACAGACGTTTGTGTTCTTAGTATTCTGGTTCCAGCTGTACTGCGGGTTCTCGTCGATGGTGATGATAGACCAGGTCCATCTCATGACATACAACCTCATGTTCACCGCGCTACCACCCATTGTTATTGGTTAGTGCTGTTTTTTTTCTATTCCACAGACTATTATAAATTGAGGTATTTGTTTGGTTAGTTGAATTAAGGAAAATAATTCTAAGTTTTTAATCTAATTTAACGATACTTGTAAAGCTATAATAAATAAATAAAAATAAAAAAATTTATGATAGAATTATGAAATTTATATTTTAGTCATTGATTGTAAATAAAAGAACAAATAATGTGTGTGTGTGTGTGTCCGATCATGTTAAACCATGTTGTGATTCTGTAATTGTCATAGTGTCGGAAGTGTAGTTACGTACAGTACAGTATTGCGTATTCCCCGCAGGCGCGTACGACCGCGTGGCGCCGGCGGGGCTGCTGACGGAGCGGCCGGGGCTGTACAGTGCGTCGCGGCGCGGCCTGGCCTACCGCACGCACTCCTTCTGGGCCGTGCTCGCTGAGAGCCTCTACATCAGCATCGTCTTGTTCTTCACCAACACCTTCGCCTACTGGGACACCACCGTGGACCTCTGGGCCTTCGGGGTCTGCTGCATGACCTGCTGCCTCGTTGTTATGTTGCTCTACGTCGCCATCGAGACTAGGAGCTGGGTGAGTGTCATATTACTATATATTACTGTTGTTCATAGTCTAAACATTAAGTATGGTTAAATATATTGGTGTAAGGCCTTAGGGGGCGTCCATAAATTACGTGAGATGTTTAAGGGGGGGTTAAAGGTTAAAGGGGGGACTCAAATCTCATCTAATCTTACGTTGGAGAGAGGGGGGGATCACGGCAAATATCACGTAATTTTCTTTCTGATAGAAATAAATAAAAATTATACTATTCATACCGACTTCATAGTTCATTTATTCCAGATTATACATGATTTAATTGTACATGCACATGGTTTTTTTTTTCTTTTTGCAATAACAATGCAACGCGTTTACGTGAAAAACCAACATTTTGAAAAATCTCCCGTGAGATTGGGGGATGGGGGAAGGTGTTGAATAAAATCTCACGAAATCTCACCAATGGGGGAGGAAGGGACAGACAATTAAAAAAAACACCTCACGTAATTTATGGACGCCCCCTTATACGTATGTGTATAATGTCCTACAATGTTGATAAATAAATATCTAAATCTGTTATAAAATTATCACTATTGTCATGGTGTTACATATAATAATATTTATTTTGTTATGATATCGCTTAAATATTTATTACCTATGTCATTATTACATGCAGCTTTTTAATATCAGATTCGTAAGTGCTTGGATAAATGCATGGAGTGAGAATAGACCTTTAATCTGTATACATATTTTAACAACACAACTTTAGACTGTATTGCGTTAAGAACACGAGTGGAAATAGCTATAGCAAACATTTTAGTTATAAACTGTGTGGTAGAATAATTCACTGATACTAACTAACGATCAACTTTATTACTAAGGGACAAAGGTGAAAATCTATTGAAAAGTTTTTGATAACTTCGGATCGGGCGATCCTTGACACTCAAGGCGTCTCCTACGGCGCCAGGGGCGTGTGGATATACGTTCTCTCAAAGCCCCCGTCGCCCTCTTACATTGGAGTATAATGACGTATATTTCCGATATCCCCAGACGGTGATCCACCTGATGGCGCTGGCGGGGTCCCTGCTGTCGTTCTTCATCCTGACGCTGGCGTACCAGTCTATCGGCGTGAGCGTCCTGAACCTGCCGTCGACGTACCACGTGCTGCACAACGCCATCACCATGCCGGTGTACTGGCTCGTACTCATCGTCACCACCGTCGCCGCACTCGCGCCCAGGTAATTAAACATGTCATTTTTCATTATATATTTATACTAGCTTTTACCCGCGGCTTCGCTCGCGTCACAAAAGGATAAAAAGTAGCTTATGTGCCATATACCAATTCATACAGCGCCATCTATACCAATACTTTTGTTTTCCCTCGGGAATATCAAATTTTTCCGGGATAAAAAGTACCCTATTTTTTAATCCAGACTTCTAACTTTACGTCTGCAAAAATTCAAAGCAATTGGTTGAGTAGTTAAGGCGTGAAATCGAAACAAACAAACAAACTCATTTTCCGATTTATAATATTATATAGTAAGGATATACTCGTTCGAAACACAACTTTATTTCTTGTTATACATCATGAACCTATTATTATAATGTATAATTTACATACAAGATTAAAAGTACTTAACATGAAAAATCATTAAGTTGTAAGGTTTGGAAGATACTTGGTTCATCGATGAAAACGTCAAAACACAATATGTTTGCTAGTTGCCATTAGCGGTGCTCACACTGTGTCGTATGCATTTTCTTGTTCGGTTGTCGTAAGAGCTGCCTAAGGGACATTTGACAGAGACTGGGTTGCATTGGTCTTGTAACTCGGGTCAGCATGAATATTTTGGCAAACGTCATCCTCGTATCCGTTATCCGTCGTCATCAAAAGTAATCCTGTAGTCCACTCCTGGGCTCTAACCAGCTTGTAATGTATGTGATGTGTAATGGAAGTGTATGTCCAGGATGGCGTACCACGGCATCCGCAACTCGGTGCAGCCGGGGTCGCTGGGCCGCGCCGTGGCCGCGCGCCGCCGCCACCGCTCCTACGCCGCGCACTACCGCTCCGCGCCGCCGCACGCCACGCTCTACAGGTACCGGCGCAAACACTACTCTACTTATACCTTCAATTGATCTTTGTACAACCCTAATGGGGGTTTAAGTACTTCGTTTTTAACTTAATTCTATTGGACATCAAAATAAGTAACCAATCATTAAGAAAATATAACATAACATCATGTCTTTTGTCCCAAAGGAGTAGGCAGAGCGGCACATTATACCACTGTACAATATGTAACACCCACTTTTCACTACTTATGTTATGGGTCCCATGTAATCCCGACAGTCGCACTTGCGACCACTCGGCCAACGAGGCAGTCATAAGAAAAATAAAGTTTTATATCAACCTTTTAAGATATCATGTTCTCAGCTGTGTTTTTGCCTAACCTACACAACTTGCACAAAGATAGAAAACAATAAAAATAATAGCTGACTTTATCTTTCATATGTTACAGGGCGAGAGACGAGGATGGGCTGCAGAAGCCGCAAACGGAGGTGGCGGCCATAACGTGAGCCCCCCTACCTCCACTGTACACTGTTACACTGAACCTAGGCTGTGATCTGTCGATAGACCTATTGTAATTACAAGTTTAGATATATTGTGCTTTTATACTGCAACGCGGGACCAACGCCGCTCGCTGGCGCCCTCTGACTAGCTCGCATTTATCTCGGCTCACGTTCTTGCAAATCGAGTGATTGAACGTCCCTCACATAGTGCAACAATAGCCCCCCCCCCTCCCCCTCGAGCCGAGAACGTTAATTATTATTATTATAACACGAATTGAATCTGAATTCTAAACACTGTTTTGTTCTTTGTAAATATTTCATCGCAAGTGTTCAAAACTTTAACGTATAACCTACCATATCATCGAAATTACTTCCGATGTTGTTAGTTACCATAATTATATGTATAACATTTATTTGTCTAGTATTTATAGTACATAGTACTTACGCCGCTCGCGCGGTATCTCATAGATCTGCCAATGTTAGGTACGCGGACGGTAGTGAGACCATACTTACCAGATTCAATAACTTACTTGCCTGTAGTTTTGTCTTCTAGATATAGAATTTTATTCCATACAAAATGTCTTAAAATTCTATGTCTAGAACCCAAATCTACCGTTAAATAGGCTATTAAAACTGTCCATAGCTTGCCTTGGTCTCACCACCGCCGAGCGTATCATTTGTTAATTTTAATCAGTATTTTTGCATCTTTACGTGACCATGGATTTAGAAACGATAACACGTTTTGTACAATATTTGTAATATTACGTCATAAAGTATTTAAATTCGAGCAGACTAGATACGTACGTGAGCGTAGACGTGCACGTACAGTGGCCAGCATATCACCCTACCCTTCAACTTTATTGTTTTGACATAAAGTCGAAAATCCAATAAATAAAATTAACAGATTGAAGTAGCTTGCTCTGCTGGCCACTGTACTACAGAGTTGTAATGTATGGGATTGTATAAGACAGAGCAAACCGCTTGTGTAAACGTGCTAATAAACATGAGCATTGTTTCGAGCATACTAGCAAATGATAGTAAAGTCTAACATCGACACAAGCATTAGCTAAAATATATTAGCGTCATAATATTCGTAGCAATGTTTGGCTCGACTCGTTGTTCAGCTAGACAGATTTAAAAACGGCGAATGTTTAGAATATTCTGATATAAATGAATGCTTACCTCTATTAGCACTTTAACGTAGACGTGTAAAAGCCTTAGTAAGAATTTGTATTACGTTTAAAGTAATACAAACGATTACGCGTCCAGCACTCTGATTGGCCGGCTCCAGTGAACCTATCAATCAGAGTTTATTTTACAAACTCATACTGAGCCCTCGGTTCTACACAAATACATACGTACGTGGACGTGGTATTCATACGCATATACGCATCCGAATACCCAATGCGAGTTTGTTTACGTTAAAGCGATCGAAAAATTGCTGTATTTATCTCTCTGATTGGTTGGTTATCTCTGAGCGGGCCAATCACAACGCTGAAAGCCATAAGCTAAACGTTAACGTAAAAAAAATCGCGCTTCGTACTCAAGTTTGCTCGATTCATTATGTTATTGTGTACACTGCCTCCGAGGATGTTATAGTATTCTAAATCCATGACGAGTTATCTCGTGGACATAGCGAATAAATATAAACGTGAAACTTTGATCTACTCGAATTTGAACTGTACAGCTTTGTGTTAAGCTGCTTATTGGTATAAGCAAAGATTTTTGAAAAATAATTGTTGTATCTCTGTGTACCCGAATGTAAGAGTTGTCTTAATGTTAGTGGGTTTGCGTTTGTGTGAATGTATTTGCTATGTTTTTAGTAAATATGTGAACAACAATATTTGATTTAGACTAAGTACCTCGGACTCTTCAAATGGGAGTTGTTGCATTTTTCAATATATTTTGCTATGACAATTTTGTATGAGATTACAAATTGAAAATGTCCAATTCATTTCTAAATTCTATTATGATTATAATAAGGCTTAGGTTTGCTCACACAAACGCAAACTAAGGGTCTAATACAACTAAACGTTCACGTAATCGTTTCGTGTATCAAAAGTAAAGTATAATTATCAATGTATTTTTGAACACAAAACGATAACGTAATGACGCTAGCACATCAAGCTTCAATAGAATTCCAACTTTATTGTTATGTAATAAAGTCTAAATTGTATTGAAGAACAGTTTGATGAGGTAGCATTAATATAGATGTCAATATAATTCCAAAAACCGCGTCATGTACTTGTTAAAAGTAACTAACAAGGGTAATTAGGACTCGACAGTAGTTAGCTTAATATATGTTGAAGTAATACACGTTCGTATGTCTGTCTGTCTGTCTATATACTGTGTACCGTGTGACCAGCGATACGATTGTGATTGTTGATGTAATCTTGTATTTTAGTAGGTTACTAGTGTGTGATAACGGTTGACTTCCTTCTCAGAAATATTTATATTTATTTATAGAGAAACGCTGCCTTGCCTGAGACTGCACCCGGTATTGGGGCACTTGTACCGCGGGCTCACGCCCGGCCGACGCACGCTCACGTTCAAACGTCCTCGCGGACTTACTAGTCTAGGCTTACAGTACACTCTCATATAAACATCACTACAGACTAGCCATGGTAAATATATCAATAAAAAATACGGTTATATAAGCTGTATGAGTTGTTTCTTTATTAACTTCGACTTTTAACAATAGTTAAGACTAATAAGTGTAAAACAAACTTTCGTCTTTGCAAATATATAATACACAATTGTTTGCATCTATTTAATCATCACTGCACTTAGAAACAACCTGTATATTTTATATTTGACAATCGCAGTTATTTCAAATTTGACAACGCCAGTATGTAGATTTTTAAATGGCGAAATAGGTGTACATTTAATATATGAACCTAATATTTTATTGATTTATGAAATCAGTGTTAAAAATTGTAGTATTGACAAACTAGTAAGCAAGTTCTGTTGATTTATTATCAAAATCCTATCTAAAAAAGTCCATGAGCAATGTGGTGGTGACCAGTAAACAAATAACGAGTGGTACATATATTGTAAGTGAATTAGAACAAGTGCCTCGACCGAGCCCCGGCCGGGTGTGACCGCGCCAACCTCGTGAGTAGATGATTCCTAAAGATTTAAAGAACTATTTTTACTATCGTTTCTAGTTTTGTACATAGAAACAAATTATATTTCTATATGAATGAGATGATTGTTACGTGTACAGTAGGATATTTTTATATGAAACAAATCTTTGTGTAAATAACTTGTATGTTCTAAGACTGTTGTTTATTTTAGAGCTTTTAGTTCGTTCAGTTAAATTAAACTAATGTAATAGGGTATTGTGATGAACACATGTATTTTCCAGTCATTATGTTCCCATGCTGTGTGTCTGATGTTTGTTCTTGCCATGTCGAATAACTCTTTAGTACAATTTCTTTGTAGTTAGTTCGTGAGTTTCTATTCTCTTCTAAAATATTCAATCTTTTTAATAAGGACCTGTTTTACTATCTAAATATGTAACTATATCTCACGATAGAAGTTATTATCATTCGGATACAGTGGAATGGATATAAAATAAAATTGACTAGTCTTATCAACGAAATGTTAAAAATGTATTATCTTTACGAAAATTAATCTTCCATTAAATTATTGAAGGCATTCAATCGACATTATTACGAAACTAATTACGAGATTAGAAAAATAATAAAGTATTAACGTTGACGCTGCGTTGACGTCGCGTTAATGTTGTTGGCAACGTTTCGCAGCGTTGACGTCCGTAATACAATGTAAATAATATACATAGTCACCAAAACAGTATCAATGTGTCTCGTAGTTAGTTCCGTAAGTGTCAGCATTTATTCTGTTGCTTATTCCATTATGTATAATCATGTTGTTTCTTACTTATACTTATTGTGCATTTAGTTTTGTGATATTATCGAAACTATATGTTTTATAGTCGCTACTATCAACAAGTATGCACGACAATGACTAGAAAATACATCATATAGATGTGTTGTTTTATAATAATAACAAATTATTTAATTTCATTACAAATCTTGTTTTATTTCGTCTCCTTTTTATATTATACATACGTACATGGTTTACAATTTGTCAATAATGTACATAATTTTTGTGCATACAGTAAATAATTACAACAGCTTCCTAAAGTGTAGAGATGTATAAAAACACGATAATTTTACTTCATCAAAAAGTAACATTAACTTAAGGAGCTAAACATTACATAGCCACTTGTCTGCTTAGCAGTCACTTCATATCTCCTAAATCGACGGATAGAATCTCAAATAATATTCTCTTCAACATAGACAATGGGTACATGAGTAACTCAGTATAATATTAACGTGTGCATGCTCTGGCAGAAAAGGTAAGAGTACTACAGCTGACACTAACCTTTGGAAATTCTAATATACTTGTCACTTTGATGCTGGCGCCCATAAACATAGTATAACTTCCTCCAAAATGCCGCTGATCAAATTCCCCGTACTGTACTTAGAAACCCATTGTCTACGTCTTTAGAAAAACAATAACAAACAATAGATTTAAAAACATAATTAACAAAAAATTTACTGATAAAGCCCTATTTAATTGAGATATCATGGTTGTTCTGGTCAGTTTGTTGACCATAGAATCTCAAATCATTAGCTTAATTAACAACCAAACAAAAAGAACAACGACTTCAATTTCCCATCCTTTAAAACATATTTTTAATAAAAACTAATTTTATGAATCTGTATACAATATCGTCAGTAAAATCTACTAAGTAGAATGCAAAGTGCCGAGGAAGAGGAATTAACTTTCCTAAGAGTTTTACTCTCATAAATATCCATTTAAATCGCCGTAATTTTAAGGGCTTGTCCAGAAAGGGCGATTCGTCGCGATTCCTCGTGCGAATCACGCGCGGTCGTTGCGTCCAGAGAGTACCAACGCGCGAGCATTTGGGGACGAATTTTGGCGCTCCATTGTTTCCGATACGTGCCCTCGGCCGGAGTTCGCGCGTTTAACTGGACGCAACAAGGGGTCCCTAGTATATCGACTCGTGCGCAATAGGCGCGAATCACGCGTGAGTCGAGGGTCTGGCGTTATGCATGCGATTTACGCGCGTATTTTAAATTCGCGCGATGCTTGTGGACGCGATGTATTCGTGCCTAGTATCTCAATAGCGCGCGAATTCATTCAAACGTTTCGCGACGAATTCGCTTCTTCTGGACAAGGTCTAACTATGATCTCTCTGTCGCACATGTTACATAATATACGTACAAGACAGAGACAACAGTATAGTGAGAACCTGTCTTTAAAGGCTTTTATCTCAGCGTATTATGCTCATGTGTGCTTTACTAACATCAATATACTTTGCACAAATTTTAAATACAGCTGCGTTAAATAATTTTGAACACTATTTCGTTCGTAATAAAACAAATTTGATATGCACTAATTAGAGTAAATATTTTTCATAGAAATACCATTCTTAACTACACGAAATAGAGAACAAAATTGCTTGACCAAAACTATATAAGTCAAAATGTTATATGAAATTCAGATACCATAGATCTTTACAAAAAAAGCCAATCACAATTTGAGTTATCGACATAAAAGCAACATTAAAACAATACAAAACGTAAAATAGAAAAATATTTCATTTGTGTGGATCGTTCAATAATCACGTATAAGCCAGACCCAGAGTGTTATTGTAAGCGTGTACACCACATTAAACAACAAGCTATCTTGTATCAATAATATCAAGAACTAATAAGTAACAAAAATATTTGTAGGTTTCAAACAGTCATAATAAGGATTAAACAATATTACGACTTAAATGTACATCGATAACTGACTGACATAATCGATATTGATGTTAAGTGGCACATTTCTAGTACCTAAGTAAAACATAGGTGAAATAGGCATGCAGATGGATGACATCGATATTAAGTGGCACATCACTAGTAAGTGACAATTGAGATTATTATTGATTAAGAAACAATTCAAAATAAATATTAATTGCTATTAAGTTAATCGACTAGCTAAGTAATGTAAGCAAACACAACTTAGATTTATATTAATAATAATTATTATCTGTAATTTGTTTTATTTATAAAAATATCTTAGAAAATTAATAAAGTACCAAATATGGTTTTACATGTAATCGGCGTAAATTGGTCAAAACTTTGAAATGCTGCTGTTTCGTATAAAATGAGGCACTTATAATTATAAATTTATAATTAGGGGAGTTAACGTTTAAATTAAGTATATCCTGCGTCAACAGTCTCAAAGTAAAAATATAATTGTCCATAATTTAATTTTCTTTATCATAATATTCTAGTTGGCAGTGACACTCAAAGTTAATTATGTGGCTAGTGATTTTGCATGAAATTAATACAAAATAAACATTTGCCAAATACCGCGGATAATATTAAATTATTTTTCTTTAGTGTCGAAAACATTACAAACATTGAGAACCCCTACTCTACTAGGGCCTGGCTGATTTACAAAACACAAAAACTATTGCACTAAAAAATTCTAACAATAATGTCGTAATCAATAAATTACTTTAGCTACAATCACATTGGGATCACAGTATACATTCTAGAATGCCGTTCACAACGTCAACAGTGGGGTCATTGACCAGGACAATATCGAACTTGTTTAGATAGTTTGTGAGGTTACCCTCGCGATTGTTTCCTAGAAATCCTACTTTGACGACAACGTCACAGTGTTCCATACCCTCTGCCATGCCTGCATCCCCTATATTGTCCCCCATAAGTACGACGTTGGTCCTCTGTTGCACCATGTCGTAATACTCCGTGTGTTTGATGGCGGTTTCGTTTTTATTGTACGTGTGTATCACCTCGCCTTTGATACCCACTATGCAGTCGTTCTCGTCCAGGGCTAGGAAGTTTGATATTACCTGGAAATAATATGAGCATGTATATTTTGGATGTGCAAATATTTTGGATAGTTATCGTATCGTCTATAGTATCTTAAACCTATAGTCGTTGCAAAACTGAGCAAAATAGTGCTCTCTTTTGCCTTTTAACAGATATTTATGCAAGTTTGTGATAACAACTAGCTTATTTTATCGCAGAACACTAGTAATAAGTAGTATCTGTAAAGTGTAAATTAAAATGATGTATAATATATAATATACCTTAACGTTAGGTAGCATGAAGTTGGCGGCAGTCATGGCAGCCAGGACGGACTCACCGAGTCCCGCGGAGAACACCAACACCGGCACCTGCTGCGCTCTGCTCCAGTCTATCATTTCACGGACACCTTTCCTGGAAAGTGATAATGATATGACATTATTTAAACAGCTTAACTTATACTTATAGCAAACGAAATAAGGTTCTTATTTTAATTATCCGTGGTTCGTTATTATAGAGGTTCGTATAATTGGATACTATGAGCCAGGGCTTAGTTGCGTACTATTGAGGAAAAAGTAGACGGAAATAGGCTGATGATAGTTTTATTTTAATATCTTATTTATATTTATGGAGTTTCTTGCTCGTTCTTCTCCATTCGAATCTACATTTTGGAATGAGCACCTAGCTTCGCCTAGTTTCACTGACGGACTGACTGACAGACTATTATTTATTTTGTATTTATTGACGTTTCAAAAGTACCAAACTATGGTTTAATTGAAATAAATGCTTTGACTTTGACTTTATCTCGACGCGGACTATTTTATGGTGTAGTCGACCGCTTAACAACAAAACATACCAATAAAAACATGGGACAGTTATATGGTAAAAATGAAACTTCTGCATATTTATACTGTGAAGATAACAATCGCTTGGATACGATAATCAGATCGCTAGAGTTCTAGTTTACGTCGATACTTCAACACATTATAGATGGATAATAACGATATGAGTACCGTGTTGCCGCGCGGAACCGGTTTCCCTCGGTCACTGATTACACCGATAAGCAACAGATAAACAAAATCAGCTTAGATTCTCTAACAGAGAACTATCATATTATCCTGTTATTTTATGGTGTTCTTTCCCTAATTTTTATCTGCAGTTTTGCCCACGTGAAAAAGTCTCCTGTTTTACTCCATACTAGAATAGATAGTGTACAATGATAACACACAAGCTTTTGAATACTGTTTATCTTATGCAGTTTAAATAAATCAATAAAATGATGTTTACCTAAAACACTCCACCATTTTGTTAGCTGCTTCCTTCAATTCATGTCTCGGAAATTTCACGCCTCTGGAAAAGAACAGAAGTTAATTATTAATAAATGTTAGTACCCATTTACTGGTTCTTTATCTAGTAATTATGTGGAACCATTATTACGAACAAAATCTTTGGTTGAACAAAAATTTTATAAAGTTTCTTGATATTTTAATTTTCAATTTCCTACAGTTTTTATTGCCCCACTTCTGTGTCGTTGGTGCGTTTACAAATATTTAATTTCACATACATACCACACTTAGACCCGACCATATATCTAGCCCAGTCACTGCGCTAACCATACAGTCAGATTGTAATGGTAAAGTCGAATCATAGCAAGGAAATGGTAACCATAGTGACAGGTCGACGAGACTACAATTCATATTGTTGCTACCTAATATAAATTTCCATTAACAAATTTAAATAACCTGATTATCAGATAAAATTGCTTAGTCATTTCAACTATTAATTTATTTATATCTTTTATCTATAATACATTTCCATTAGGATTTGCATAAACATTGCAGTCTACTTAAGTTACTTTGTAGTTGAAACTACTATGACATAATCGTTTCAATATATCTTAGTTCTTTTAAGTTTATCGTGGAAAGACAAACAGACTAAGATATGCGGCGGAAGACATAGTTTTATAAGAATTGGTCTCATTGTATATTTAGATAATACTTTTCATTCACATAAATATGTAATTGTTTCTTACATTTTTATACAAAGTGAAACGTTTATAGACAATTCTTTGTAAACTTTATCTCATTAACAAAATAACAGGAAGATCATTCAAGGAAACATTGTTTCTTAATCCATTTGGCGTTTAAATCTATATCTATACTATAAAGTTAAAAAGTTTTTTGTATGATTTAATAATCTCCACAACTGCTGGTCCGAATTGAATCATTCTTTCGTGGTGGAAAGTCCATTTATAGATGAAAGCTATAGGCTATATAACATCACACTATGATCAATAGTAACCAAGTAGCGGCTGTAGTAAAATATAATAATACTTACTTCAGCAAAGCATGTGCTGCCACATACCAGTCTATCATATGTTTCGTTTTCTCCTCAATACTCATGTGAGGGTCACTCTCTATTGGTTTGTAGATGCCGGCCAGCCTATTGTCCTCATCTTTGTAGTGCTGTGGTATTGATGGGCACTCACGGAACATACCTAGAAACAATAAAATTCCATATATATTATGAGACTATTTATGAGATCTCATCCTCACAAAATATACAGTCAAAGACTTCTTCTAATTGTTTACTTTACAAGTCAAATGAGTAAGATGTATGTATGAACGGACAGTAACTATGCCTCTTCAAAATAATATACACCCTAAAACTTTATATTATTAAACTTAAAGCAAACATATAGAGAATTCTACTTACCAAATAAATAATTTAAGGATGTATACTGGGACTCTAATCTACTCTAAAATATTAAATTGGAATTTACCAACTTACAACAGTTTTCATTTGCAAAACATTTTGCGAAATGTAGATTTTACTGATAAAAAAACTACTGTGAAAAGGTAAATTTTGTTGTTATTTCAAAACAATGCAACCAGCCAATTGTTGCACAATAGGTTGCAATAACTGAAGCAAACAAAACTGTATAAGCAGACCTATTACTGTGTTTACACCTTCTAATCTCGTTGCAATAAATTCATGCAATTATTTGTGAATTTTCGAAATATTTCTAAAGCAGATTAGATCAGATAACATCATAACTATTGCTATAACAAAATGTACAATCTAACTAGATTTAAACAAAAATTCTTTATTTTTGAAGTATCTTACATTAAAAAATGTAAAATTATTCAAAGTAGTTTTATAGGTATTTTGATGGCATGCATTAGCAACATGTAATGTTAAATTGGGAATCTTCAAATATGTACATTTTGCAGTTTGGAATGAAAATATTTACATTAAATTATTAGGTGATTATATCATTTAGATAAAATTATTATCTCATATCATTATAAATCAATTAATCATTATTCAACTGGAAAACATATTAAATTAATACTTTTTCTCTGACAGGAATCTCAATATGCATGTTTAGTCAAATAACACTACAGGTACTGCTGCATCAGGGATGCCAGAGCCAATGGAACACAAAATGACATGATTCTGACCTTTTTCACTTTATCTACATTCATGAATCTTATCACTTGGGAGATGATAATAAAGAATAATCATACAGTATTTATTTAGCTGGGAATCAATCACAGCTAGTTGTAAAAGTGGTTATTACTAACCAGTTACACTTATGTAAATGTAAACTCATGGGCTTACCAAAACTAGTGAGTACAACACTTCCATTGTCCATGGTGTGTCTGGTCAGCGTGTGGTCGAAGTCTGTCACTATCTGCAGCTTGTTGTGACCATCATGAATCATCTTATTCAACTTCTGCAACAACTCCGCCTTGTCCCGGATATGGACATTCTCTCTACTCAGTGCAGATATTTTGTTCAAACTTGATAAAGATGCCATAGCTGTAACAAACGTACGTAAAGTCATAAATAAAACAGCTGTTACGTTAATACTATAGTGAATAAACTCGTAGTAGATGTACGATACACAAAATCAAACATAAAACGTATGTATTCCTAACAAATGAGATAAGCACCTGCTAAAAATGTCACTGAACTTAATCACCAAGTGTCGTAACTAAAGATAAAATAATGTATTCACACAGAAATTAATAAATAACGTTATCATAAGAATAAATGTAGCGGAAAAAGACGAACAGCCCACGTTCGACCTTGGTGTCACGAAAACTGCTGTTTGAGGGACATCGAGATATATTATATGCTGTCAGCTGTCAATGCGTCTTGTTGTCATGTGACTGTCAATATCAACTGTTAGCTGTCATGTCATCAGCTGTGTGTATACAGGTAATATATAAAAAAAACTGATACGAAACTGACTTGTAGATAGAGGAATGCAAAAAGCGATTAAAAGAATCCGGGATGGATTCTTTTGATCGCATTCAAATGTAGATATTTTTTTTTCGGAATAGGGCAGACCTGAATATAACCCATTGGCGCCGCCCATGGACACCTGCAACATCAGATGACTTGGAAGTGCGTTGCCGGCCTTTTGCGAGTTATTGATTTGAGGATTAGAGCAGACTGGGAGGAGGCAGTTAGACCTCCAGTAATCTGACTCATACTTATCTTGATCAGTATTTTACGAATAATATGAATTTTATCGGAATTCCGAATTAATAGGGAGAGACCAGTGTCACAAACTCCATGTTCAAGCAAACATTCGATCAGTAAACCAAATGAGGCTGTCTGCTATCATATTTTTACTTGTTAGCCTTGTTTGTGTAAGCTCTATAACTTAAATGCTTAAATTTTTTTTTTTTAATTAGGTACGTACTATACTTTCCTGATAGGACGTAAGGACACAAAAAGGTTACAGAGTGAATGATTAAAAATTATACAGAAGTTATTTTACATATTTGCAAAATGCCACCTACCTAGCCTTAGGGACGACACGGAGGTGTCACACTCACAAGTAACGTACTTGCACATAATTTATTCTAATGTAACTTTCACTTTTGCCACTACGGTAAAACGCAACAGGCTGACGGCATTCAGTGCTGTGTGCCTAGCACGAATTCACCCACCCCAGATGGAGGTAGTTTCGTAACATGCATTTGAGGGATTACCATTTTTATTGGAAGTTTAAAAATACTGAATTATACTTTGTTCAACTCGAGAATTTAAAACTTTACTCAGCTACCGTATTTATAATCATTTCACCAACAAACCATGATAGTTGTTCCAAATTAAAATAAAAAACAGTTTTTTCAAAATATTTATGTAATATGTATTTATATTTTTGTTATTTTTTGCTCTTCAGTATCACAAAAGTATACAAGATTTACATTCGTTTAGGTTACAAATTATGCTTTTAAAAGTATATTAACATTATTAATTACATGTAAACAAAGTTATCAGCTTCAACAAGCACATGTAGCCACAGGGAATGTCTAACAGTCGTCAAGGTATGAAGATGAACTGCCACTGTGGACCAAACACATTGTGGAATACCTATTTAATATATGTATAAAGAAAGCATTCATAAAGTAGGTTAAGATATATCTATGATATAATAATATATTTCCACAATGTGTCTAACATACTTTAGTATAGTATTTAAATTGGGGCAAGAGAAACAGTGTGTAACATTTATAATTTACATACAAGTTATCGCAGAAGATAACAACTTATTAAAAATACTATAAGGTTTATTGAAACTGGGATTTTCTTACAACAGTGAAACAACAAGTTTCATAGATGAAACATAACTAAGGTACTACAACCCAATAACAATGTCTATGATTAATGTAAATATTTCAGTATTTGATTACACTAATAAAATATAAATTAATTTATCTTCTATACACAATCGTTTATAAATCAGAACACAATCATTTATAAATCAGAACCTTTAGTTCAACACAGTCCTTTTAAAAATTCAAAATCCTTGTCTTGGTAAAGTAAGCTTTGAACGTCGTCAAGGTTGCCACACGTCAAAAATGGAAGTTTTTTCTATGCACATGGATGTGCCCAAGAACGTTGGCGTCGGAAATAAAAATTTAAAATAAGATGGTAAAAGAGAAAGCTCGATTATGAACAAACTACAGAAGTACTAGAAGACATAAATGTCTAATGCATTTCTTTTTGTATTTGTGAAAAGAATGAGCAACCCACAGGCACAGGTACAATATTTTATATGCATGATAGAAAATATAGCATACATTAATAAATTATGGACGGTTGTTCAAATAAATTACATAATAAACAATAATAAATACAGTTATTTTATCTAGTAAACTTTAACTTAAGATAATAATTATGTCACAACTTTGACACACTTTTATTGTAACTGCAACAACCTTGACAGACGTGTACATACCAGTTCATAGATTTATCTAAGAATAAAAATCTTAACATGAAATTACATTGATTTTTTATTCTTATTCTTTAAAGATACATATTGTACCTATTGAAAGATATGACCCATTATTTGTGATTCCTCAGAATAGTCCAACAACCCGAACTTAACCTGATAGAAAAACTATAAACATAAGAAAAACCTTAACAATCTATGTTTGTGGTAAGTGTCTATTGCACAAGTGTTCTATAAAGTAGTATAAGCAGATGTAGATAAAGTGACGCTTTACTAAGCAAGGAAGCAAATTGAAAAGTTAATTTGCTGACTTACATTCATTGCTTGTTAAGATTTAAGATAAAAAGCGGTAAAAAATAACATACCAAGCTACAATATTATTTCACAACTCAAAAACTAATCCACTTTATACAAATAAACAAATTATTATATTGTACAGGTAACTAAGTTAAATAAGTTCGTTATTTGGAGACAATCGGGTGCAACTGACAATTGAATTTAATTGATCCCATTCGATAAATGACTGTCTAGTGTTTAATTAAATACCGTGTATTGTAATTAAATGTTGGCAAGCGATCGTCTCCAAATAATGCTCGAAAGCCGCTCGCTAGCCAGTTAGCCGTTGTATCGTCAGTCGTCGCTGATCCGTCGGCCCTTCTTGGTCTTTTTCTTCTGCATAGCCTCCAGCCTCATATCTTCTAAGTCTTCCATAATACCTGAAAAGAGAAGACAAGGTTAATCATTGACAAAATTGCAGAAATTTCTTTCAAAATCAGGTATATGATGATGGCAGGATTGAATACAAGTGGATGTTACAAGAGAGATTAGGGGCTACATATTTGATACCTAGTGTGTTAAACTACGATCTGTAATTTGCCTGCCAAGCGTGAAGTTTGTGAAAAAATCTGATGACTAGAGAACGCCCATAAGTACAGCATGAACTATTTGTAGGTTGGTGATAATAAACTAAACGAAATGAAAATAAAAATACTCTATTGTTCTGACGTTCAAAAGTGCCTTCCTGTTGTAATTGAAATAAATGTTTTTGACTTTAAAGGAATTATGATTTTACTAAAATTGAGAAATAGGATGTGCGAAGTAAGAAACACAGGTAAGGTAAGGAATTGCATTTGACAATTATTTATGTGACAATTTATTCTAGAAAATTCCATGGTAACGTTTGTTACCATACATATGTACAAAAAGCTGTTATCACAATTGCAGTAACAGATTAAAATAACGCGTAGTACGTCAATCCCAGTGAAGAGTCCATGTTGTTATGTAACATTCATTTTCGCGGGTTAGGTAATTCGACATACTGGCCATAACAGAATTTAATTTCTGTTTATTGCACAATATTAAGACATACCTATGTAATTTTATTTTTACTATGTCGACTGTATGTCACATACAAATGTGTTTGGACATGTTAGTACCTGTTTTTTTCTTTAATTTGAATGTGGCATAGTCGTCAATTTTTTTTAAGTGTATCAAAATAAATTAATGTTGAAAATTTAGGCTACAAGTACAACCCTATACAATGTCTTAGTGACTCGTACATAATGCACCAGACACACTCCAGTGGCAATGCTGTTATTTAATAATACTATCAGGAAACACCAAGGTCGAAATGTGTGTGTTTGATAAGAACCCTAATGGGTTGTCAACAGGACGCCGATAAGCAACCTTATAACATTGACATAAGGGTATTATTTGTTGGAAGGACAATTTGCTCTAACAAATATGTTTTCGTATTATTCTTGCAGGTAGTAAAAATACTAGTATGATAGAGACAGCAATAGATACATACCAATCTTTTTACTAATGTACTCCTCGCGTTGTTGTCGCGCGAAACTGGACTCCATGGTAGGATCGTCATCGTCATCCATGTCTCGATACCTGAAAAATTATAAAAATCAATTAGAAATATAATTAGCTACTGCGCCATTTCACGCGCTGCGCGGCTCCTATTCATCATAACGTGATGTTCTATAGCCGACAAAGCTTATGTCATATAAATGGACATATGAAAACGCCTATCCAATTCCAGACCATAATGTACCCTCTAAATTTCAACTTGATCCTTTCAGCTGTTTTGACGTGAAAGAGTAAGAAAGAAAGAAACAAACAAACAAACAAACAAACAAACAAACACACACATACATCTCACAAACTTTCGCATTTATATTATTAGTAGGAAGTAGGGTAGTATGATTTAGGATAGTAGGACAGTTCAGTTTCAGAGGTTCCTCCCACGGACATTTCGGTTGTGGAATGAATTCCCTTCCGTGGTTTTCTCAGTGGGCTACAATATGGGTTTCTTTAAGAACGGAGTGAATAGGTTTTTTAAGGAGGAGGCGGGACGCGTGAGCAACGAAGCGCTGCCTCCTCGTAACCCAGCCATCGCGAAGGACACACCGGGCGTCGGGATCGCGGGACGATTTTCGGCCACCGTAAGCGCGGGCCAGCGGACGGCGAGCATGGGTGGCTCCCCGTCCGACCAGAAACAGACTCAAAGAGCCATCAGACCACCACAGATGGGGCTCAACAGGGTCGATGCCGATTCGGAGTCGCGGAGAAACTAATGGGTAACCGGGGCTCCGGCTTGACGTGCAGGAGAAGGAACGGGGACACTCCCTCCCGCCTCACCCAGGCGGGACCAGTCATTCGATGATTTTCCCCACTTATATGGGCCCCATAGGCCATGGTAACCGCTTACCATCAGGTGGGCCGTGTGCTTTTTTTGCCACCAACATGGTATAAAAAATGACTATTTCTTGCACCAAAAGCCGAAATAAATCAATTTTTTTTACTTACTTGGATTTATCATAACCAAATATCTCCTTAATATGCCTGGAGTAATCCATTTCATCATCGCCGTCGTCAATGAAGTCATCCAGTTCGGAATCGTACTCAGAATCAGAGTCTAGAGCGCGGCCTGGAGAAAAAATAAGGATAGTGAGTCATCATTGAATTACAACACACTTTTATTTATTTTCTATCTGCACCGAGTCATAATCAGATTTGGCTGAAAGTAGGTAAGGCAGGTAGGAAACCAACCTGCCTTACAAGCCACTAAGGGTGATACAATTTACTAGGTTAAAGTTTAACTAGTTTTTATACTAAGCTACTATTTTTATACTGACTACTAACTACTTTAGATCAGGCTCTGTAGTATTTGAGTACTTAACATTAAAAGTACAATGACACTTACGTTTCTTCTTCTCCATAGCTTTTCTCCTGACGTCACCTGGCGGGAACTGCCGCGTACCGTCCGGCTTTCTCGCGCCATTCTTACCCAAACCATTAATGTGCTTATCAAAATCAAATGTACTTGTAATCTTCGGCTTACTTGGGCCAGCTTTATCATTAGCACCAGGTTTCCTATCTTCAGGTCTTTTAGAAGGCACTCCTTTGCTATCTACCAGCCTCTTGTCATTCAGTTTCTGAGATCCTTCAGCAGCTCTCTGCTTAGCCAGTAAAGCTTTATCCTTAAAGCCATTTTGATGCACTGGCTCTCTCTGCTTTGGCACTGCTTTACCCTGGCTACTATGGCCATTCAATAATTTACTATCAGGTTGCTTACCCGGTACAGCTAATTTCCTTTCATTAGAATTCTTATCTATCCTGTATGTATTTTGGCTCTTTAAGTCTATGTTTTTATTTACATCTTGTTTAACTCCTTCCTTATAATTTAATTTTGATCTATCTACAGGTTTGTTAACACCTTTGACTACTTTTTCTGGGGGTCTAGTGTTACTCTCTAACTTAGATTTAGCTTTTTCTAACTTTTCTCTGTCTCTGTTAAGTCTGTCTATGTCTCTTTCGATTCGTTCTCTCTCCGCCTTCAGCTTGTCAAGTCTCTCTCTGTCTATTCTTTCTTTCTCACGTTCAGCCTTATCTTTTTCTAGTCTTAATCGGTCTCTTTCTTTTTGTAGTTTCTCTATTTTCTCTCTTTCACTTCTCTCTCTGTCAGATGGTCTAGGACTGTCATTTCTAGAGTTGTGATTGTTCATTTTGTCTGACATTTTCGGGATGCGGCCTAACCCAGAACTTGGTTCAGGTCTTCTTTCTCTTTCAGCTTCCCTGGGTCTGTCATCTCTTGATCTGTCATCCCTCGGTTTATCATCTCTTGAAACTGAAAGTTAAGATATAAAATATCATTAGAATTGTAGTTACACAGTATGAAATGTGTGTTAAGATGAAAAACAGTGTGTAAAATCGAGTAGGTCTGTAGTAAGAATTTTATCAGATTATTATATTTACCTTTCTTACCACCATTTTTCTCGGCCTCCAACCTCTCTAGGCGACGTTGTCGTCTCGCCATCTCTTCCTCATAATCCCTCTTCTGTTTCTTGGTCATGAGTCTCTCAGGGCCTGCCTCAGACTCTGCTACAGCTTCTTTCTTCTTTCCTATTTCAATTGGTTCACTCTTCTTTTGTTCAGCTAGTTTCAACAGTTGATTAAAGTCCATAGGGGGAGGGGCTGGTTTCCGAAATTTGGGCTTTTCTGGCTTAGTTTCTTTTTTTTCAGGCTCATATTTTGTTGGTGGACTTGATTCTCGCTCTGAAATATTTTAAATTATAAGTTTTGGGAAATACAACATTAATCATAGCATAAATGTTCTAATTCTAGAAACTGAGGCAAAATTTACCTCCATTCTCTCCTTTCCTTCGACGCTTATGAGGTACTGGATCATCTTCATGTCTCAAGGCGTGTTTTACGCGCTCTCTGGTACCATTAAGATCTCTCTTTACAGATGTGTCTAGGAAAAGAATAATAGGCATAAAGTTAAAATGAAAATTAATTTATATTATGGATAATTCTTCCTTTTTAATATTGACCACAAGCAAATAAAAAGGACACTGTGCCAAATAGAAAATAATAACCATAACAAAGTAATTCAATATAATCAATACATACTTCAACTATGTCTAATCTGACTTTATAAAAATATAATCATAGATCGGTCACACTAGATGTGATTTTTTTCTGTCATCTATATAATTGATCTCTCTTCTGAATTATTAACTGACTTTCAAAATATAATCAAGTGAACGAAGTAAAGGTAGTTTTAGGGTAAACATTTCAATGAATGTCTTATAGCAAATGCACAGATTATTATTTATTTTTATAAAGGCTGCAAAGTATGGACATTCTGTCTTCAAACTTTGAAACATTTTTTAAACCTTATAATAAATAAATAAATAACTGCTGTGATTCTTTGTAAAATTCTAAAAGCTGGCATTTATTTTTAGATCACAAATCAACCAATCAATTTTTCATGGATTTGGATCAGATATGGAACAGACATAGTGGGAAATCACTCAGTGCTCTTAAAAGCTATCTCATCTTGCATCTATCACATAATGATATATCAATATCATTATTCCTTATTAAGGGGAAAACAAAGAAACAAATGGCAACATTAAAGTGTGGAAGAGTGGTAGTGGACAGTGGCACCAATGGGCTGGCTAAATGGAGTGGTTCCATTTCCAGTCTCACAGAAAACCAACATGAAACAAAGCTTGTGTTGTTCCGTCCTCCCATCTGAATCCCCATCAATCCTCAAATTCCTAATCCCAGAAACCCTGTAACGCATTTGTAACACCTCCGGTGTTTCAGATGTCCATCTGCGGTGCCATTGGTTACCATCAGGTGGCTGTCTGGTCGTTTAACCATAAAATAAAAATATAATTAACTATCTAATAGGTACTAATCATAGTCAATAGGACATTAGTTGAATTGTAAATTACTTAATCAGAATCAGACTTTGGAACTTATTACCTATATTGTATATTTTCCAATATTATTAGTTGACCTACATAATATTTCTAGAAAGGAAATAAGATACACTTACTTCCTATTGGAAATTTTGGTTCATCTGGCATCTTACTATACTTTTCCATCATCTTTTCGTAAATAGCTGCTGCTTCTTGGGACTCATAGCCATAATCATCTTGATCAGGCTGGTCCGGCCCCTCACGAGTCACTGCAGTGTTATCCCGATCAATAGCATCAGCAATCACTGACTTATTGGCCGACTTAATCACTTTCAGAGTTTTCTGAATCTTTCTCAAGGCTTTAGGATCTCTCATAGCAAGGAGCTCCTCTCTTTTCTTTTGAGCTTCAATTTTCTTTTGCCTCTCTTCCTCATCCTTCTTTGCCAAAAACTTTTGAATATTTGCTGACAATTTGTCCCTCTGTTTCTGCTCTTTCTTGGGCGGATCAAAGCGAGCTTTGTAGTATGCATTTTCCTGAAATCACATCAATTATTTATTATTGGAATCAGTGACATACGTTAAAGGAAAACATAGTAAGAAAACCTAGTTTTATATTTCTAATTATAAGTTCGAATTCGCTAAATCGCTTTCGGCAAGCGGTACGTGGTAATATTTAATCACCACGCTCGTACCTTCTCTGTCTGAGAAGAGACGTACAATACATTTTGACAATAACAACAAAGTAAAAGTATCTTCATGCTCGAGTTAGGAATCACGAAAGTATAGATACTGGTTATTACTGGTCTCGGATAATCACATTATAATCTTGAAATTTATCACAATACAATAGAATGCGCATATTTTTTCGCAAAATTATATGGTACACTCACAGATGACTTTTGTTGTTGATTTCGTTGAGCTGCTAACAACGTCTCACGAAACTCCATGTTTTCGGAATCAAATTATTTTGTAGACGTAAACCTTCTACAAACACAATAACATTGTAAAATTTTCACAAATTATTTTATAAAAATCGTAAAATACGTGTCATGCCCGATTTTGATACACAATCCCACCATTTTCTGGAAACGTACTGACAGTGTTACCAACTTATCAAACTTAATTCAGGAATTGTTGCCAATGGACTAAAATAATTAAAAGTGGTAATAAAATAAACACCTAATAACAAACACGTAAATGAACAATTAGAATTCGAACCACAATACTAAGATATAATATAGTATTTAGTCAAAACTTTTTCAACCAAGGGCTGCATTTTTAATACAATTTAATTTCCTATGGAAAATAACTCATGTGGTGAGGACGATGTTTTCTCATTAGCTAGACCACCGAATTAGAAAATAAGTAATATAATAAATCTACCAACAATAGATAAATAAAATAAGAAAGAAAAAATTGATAAAAAGAAAGAGAAATGCGAGCAGCTTAAGCAGTTTGTCTATGCTTCTAGAACTTAAGTTTGCCAGAGACAAATAGAATGAAACTTTGACTTGACAGTGACAGCAAGTAATTCCCTTCTCTTTCTTTTCAAAACTTGACTGAAGACGAAAATATGGTTGGTGTGAAACTTATAATTTTTATCTAAATATTTCTATAACATCTTTAATTAAATCCAGTAAATTAATCGTGTTTTATTTGTTACTAGTGAAATCAGTGGCCCCAAGCGTATTATTTGTAATAATGATGTGGAAACACTATAGTAAAATCTTTTTGTTGTTTCGCTGCAGGCCACCTCCAAGAAGAAGACCAGGAAGCTACGAGGACACGTGAGCCATGGCCACGGTCGTATCGGTAAGTTTTACCTGTAATTTATTAAAAAATCAAAATGTTTTAGACATAATCAACAACCTAACCTCACCTTGTCAGACTAAACCGGGGCACTGCATGCCTTCTGAAAACAAACCAGTACTTTGACCTTAATGTTAGGTTCTAATTATTAATGTTTGGATTCTATTCTGATATAATGTAAGAGCCTACCATTTCATCCTCGTTGAGACATTCACATTGCTAGTTTTTGTTATTGTCACAGATATCACTTGGTACTAGGTTGTTAATTGAATAGTTTTAATTCTAAAACATGAAATCAAACCAATACTTTCCAACCAAACACGAAGATTGCTAAACCACTATATTAATATCTTGGTAAACAAAATGTGTTCACATCTAACGAAAACTTACTTGTTCAAATAGCTATGTATTAATTAATTACTATTGTGTTACAGGGAAGCACCGCAAGCATCCTGGAGGTCGCGGTAACGCTGGTGGTGAGCACCACCACAGAATCAACATGGACAAGTACCATCCCGGATACTTTGGCAAAGTAAGCAGATTTACTTGAATTTATAAAATGATACTTTCCCTATGAATAAGTCCATTGTAAGTATATACATATATACAATAATTACAGAATTATTTATTAATTCTAGTTACTTGTGTTTATTTTTTGTATTTCTATTACAAGATTTGCTATGTAAATATGATTTAGAAATGTATCAGTTTGATAAAATACTTTATAGACATCACAAGAAATTAATATTTGAGTCACATTTGAGTATTCAATAGCAAATTCACAGTTTTTACCAATAGTAAACGAGTAGATGCTATTACTTAAACTGTCAAACACCGAGCGGTCACCGGTGACCCCAACCTATTGTTCTTTAATTGTGTCTATAATGACGGTACTCAACGAGTTAAATAAACTTATTCCAAATATTGCTAAGTTGTACTAATGGATTTTAACATATATTTTTAATTATTCTAGCTTGGTATGAGGAATTACCATGTCAGGAAAAACAAGCTGTTCAACCCTGTATTGAACCTGGACAAACTATGGACCCTGGTGTCTGAGCAGTCCCGCCTCAAGTACGCCACAGCCACCGACGGCAAAGTACCCGTCATCAACATTGTCAAGGCTGTAAGTTTCATTGAACTATATGAACTTCAAAGTTAAACATGGGAAGTAATTTTTATGGAACAAAGGTCAATATAAAATATCCAGAGTTATTGATTGTAAAAATATGCATAATAATTATCCAGCACTGATCTCTTCTACAACTTCCCAAAAAGGAGGTTCTCATTGCAAACTGCTTAGGTTCTAATGGTTTTTTTCTTGTTTCTAGGGTTACTACAAGTTACTAGGCAAAGGCAACCTCCCCAAGCAGCCCGTCATAGTCAAGGCTAAGTTCTTCTCCAAAACAGCTGAGAAGAAGATCAAGGCTGTAGGAGGTGTCTGCGTTTTGTCTGCGTAATTTAAGTATACATTAAAAATCTAAAATCCATTCTTGTCTTATTATTTACTAGTCCCTCGTTTGAAATATGATATGTAGTGTGGTCCTGTAAGTTCATACTTAATATTCGACTCTAAAATCATTGAAATGTTCTCACCCCCTATTTAACATAAATATTAAAAAGTGGGTGTTATATGGTAATGGCACTAAGTGCCGTAATGTGCACCTCTGCCTACCCCTTCGGGGATAAAATGCGTGATGTTATCATTCAAATGTATAGTAGTAATCAGTTGAAATAAACACTATGTTTTGACTATCATAATCGTCAGTACAAAAAATATATTTAATTTTAATGAATTCTCACATGGATATATCGCCTCTTTGCAAGAATACTGTGATATTTCAGAAAAATCAATTTTTTTTTTATTCCATAATCAAAACCGCCGTATTGAACTTTATTTTCGATAAAAACGAGGTATTTTTTTGACAATAACGGTGCATCTATGAGCGAAAGAGACAAGACAACTGCAATATTTTGTGTTGTCGCGCTGTCTCTTTCTGCCTCGTGATTTGTTTCGACAACGTGTCCCATCAGTCGGCGCGTGCCATTTGGAGGGAAGGGCGCTCTCGTATTTGTGCAAAAACGTGACATCACGAAGATACCACATTAAGATTGCTAAGGTAAGTTTGAACTCTTTGATATTTTTTTATTAAGTAATGTGATATGTTGAATTGACACAGTTTTGTTGAAAATAGTACTTATGCAATTTTAACTTGTTATTACTTTTGATATCACGTTTTCGTTGAAAAGATATCGTTTTTGTTTTGTAACATCATAAGATGACGCGTTGTTGACAATGAAATATTTTACAAACCATAAAATGGATTCGGAGTATTTTGTAATGTTACTTTTTTCTAGATAAATTATAAGTTTTTTTGTAAATTAAATCGTTATGTCACGTTGTAAATACTAAAACAAATGAATTATAAATATTTATTTTTTCAGATGGGATCGCGGTCCAGAAAATTAGTACAATTAGCAACTATGCAAAACGTAGTTGATAGTAACGTAAATGATAGTTCCAGTATCCAAGCCGAGGAAGTTGATGACTCTAATATAAACGCAATGATTCCAGAAGGTAAGACTTAATAATTTTGGTTTTTAAAGAATATTTTTGTAAAGACTAAATGCCACCTATGTTCGGTCCCATGTAACAAGGGGCGAGCCTGTTGTCATGTAGTTATTTAAAATGAGTACCTATTAATACGAAACGAACTTAGGTGCTTACATTTTCATAGATTTTAAACAAATTGGATTTCCAATATTGGAAATCCATACATGAGGCCTATGCCCAGCAGTGGACGTCCATCGGCTGAGAAGAAGAAACAAATTGAGCAACATTATAAGGAGTCTTAGTGTGTTTTCTACAGATAATTATGTAAACACCTCGATTTTACTTATGTTTCATAAAGTTTTTCTATTGTTTAAGTTATTATTATTTATATTTCTTTTAGACAAAAGTAACGATGACTCAAAACATCGTCGACGTGAGTCAACTAGTAGTACCGGTAGCTCTTCAAGTAGCTCTTCGAGTTCTTCTTCGAGTTCCTCCTCAAGCAGTGGACCATCTTTTTATGAAGGTAGTAAGTTTTTATATAAATGCATTTATTATATTTCTTAATACATACATACATTATTATTGTCACGCCTTTTTCCCATTGGGGTAGGCAGAGACTACTATTTCTTAATAAATGCACTTATTCAATTTATGTAATAATTTGTGTTCAATTCTGTGCATTTCGGATGCCGAACGTTTGCAACGTAATTATTTGGGACTAATTTTCTTTTAACTTTTCCCCAGATAGTGATGATTCCGTAAAGGATCCCAATTATCAAGAGGAGAAGTCAAAAATTAATAATATACATAGTTCAGACTCTGAAGAAGAAGGTGCCAGCACTAACTACAACTTCTCAAAAGACCAAGACTTGTTTAATTTAAAGTATCAGAAGTAAGAGTAATAAGAGTTAGTAAAGATGATACAAATGCTATATTTTATAAAAATTCTTATGCTGAAACGGACTTTAAAAAAGCCGTCGTTTTGAGAAAAAAGAGAAACAACAATATAGAAATAAAAAATCTCTATAATAATAAACCCGGGTTAGCTGAACGAAAAAAATCGGACCTAATGGATTTGATTAATAAGAAATTAATTCCCGGAGTTCATAGGAGCTTTTACGAATCGCTCTAAGAATGTTTTTATTTTATTTTTATACTATTTTTGTAATATTTATAACAATTATTTTTTATTACTTTATGTGAGATAAGTGAAACGTCGGTTCCTTTAAGTACAATACCTATGTGATATTTTATAATGAAAAGTTCCTAAGTCGTAATTTTATAGTACTTAATGATAAATACTCAAGTTTTTAATACATTTTGCAAGTATATAATACTTATAATTTTAGATACTTATTTTTAAAACCTATCTCAATATGAATAAAAATATTTTTAGTATGTATTATTATTCTTATTGAGATGGTTTTGTTTTAGTTAAAATATAGATTATGGTCCACCTAAAGTAGGTTTAGAATAAACCTAGTGATTATTTACAAAGACTAATGTTACGAAGAGACTGATTGGTTAGCTAGATCTAAAATAATAATAACAAATTTAGTAATAACAGTATACTTTTAATTAAGAACTGATAGCTATAGTTTCATTTTGTTAACTTTGTTGATTGTTAACTGTTGAATTACTGTATTTAAGTAGGTAACTGTATATCCTACCTATGTTATAATGACTAATGTTTATGCTTGATTTTCTTTTCCTACAAATTTTTCATTGATTTAATAAACATTTTTATTTCTAAAATGTGTTTTTATCATATAACCTATCACAACACAAAAAAATATATTATCAACAATGTGACAAGTTCATATGTCACATCGATCCTTGAAAACTTTTTCAGTAATAGTGTGACAAAATATCCCTTTTTTTTTAATCCTGTTAATTTATACCGAAAAATAGCCAATAGCGCAACAATTACTATAGTTTTAGATGAATTAATAGTTAAATTATAAATCACTAGAAGGTTTTGTTGCTTTAGCTCTATTATTTTAGATTTTATAACATTTCGAAAGTTTAAAATACGCGTCCTGTAAAATTGCCTTTTTTGAGATGTTACAGTATTCTCGCAAAGAGGCGATATGCTGTACGATTATTACCTACTTCAATTTTAACCTCAAGGCTTCTACAGGCTACGGTTCGTACGGAGCAGCAGAAGGCCTAACTAACGGGTTGCCGGCTCGAAGAGCATGAGTAGGAACAGGGTGGTTTTTAGTAAGAGTGACACTCCCTCTCGCCTAACCCACGGCGGGAGAAGTCATTGGATGCTTCCACTCCCCTCCCAAAAAAGACTACGGTTCAGAATAAGGTTACGCGAGTTACATAGTTAGACGCGCACGTGTTTGTCTCCCCTCATAAAGCGAGACGGAATGTCTGTAAGCCATCAGGAAATCAAATAAAACAACACAATTTGTTGATATAGCTTAAAATAATTAATAAAATACTCAATAGATATACCTAAATTAATTTAAAATAAAGCACGATACATAATATAATCGAGATATGTACCTAATTATAATCAAATTATAAAATATACCTAATAGGTAATTGACCTTAAATAATTTTAAATAAAACGCCATGTCAAATGCATAAAAAATAAAAGCAAAATTGTTACATATTCTGTGAGAAATTACGACATTTTAAATATTGTAAGATTTCCCTGCCAAACTCGACCCCGCTGTATATTAAGGATACCTGGTCTTATAAGATAGATTTTCAACTATAAATAAGTTTGTAATAAAGTCGAAAATCTATTGTTGAAAGACATAAGTGTACATTGATGTGCTGAGGTCTACATAAACACACCGTCCTAAGCTTGGCGATAAATGTAATTTAGATTTGCGCTCGCCTATTGAAGCACTCGAGAAAAACTCTTGGATCGTAGTACTCTGACCCAAATTATTTCCTTGTACAAAACAAATCCTTATTTTTATTATTCTGGCAGTAACTCCACACAACTAGTTTGCAACAGTCCCTTATTAGTATTATTACGAGTTTAATACACTGTTATATGCCTTATTTCTATTTTAATAAGCACTGGATTTCGAATTATAAAGCAAACGTACCATGAGATCAGTAAACAATATCCTTCACAATTTTCTTATTAGTAAATAAATTAAGAGGTTTATAACTTTTCTATGCTTTTCATGTCTATAAGTGCTGTACTGCTCTTGTTGCTGCAGTATTGTTCTATACTACATTTCTTAATGTATTCCATGTTAGTTCATGCTCTAGTACTAGCTAATGTTACTAAATGACCATGCATGCTCAGTACTTAATGAATTACCTAGATTAGCATTTAGCTTATTCATATAAATCTAACATGAAGCCTAGAGAAAATTATTGATATCCTTGTCAAATTCTGAAATTAGCTATAAATTATGAATGCAATGTACATAATCATATTAGAATTGCATTTTTAATATATAGTAAAGCTGGATATTTGTCAGTAAAGCTTAAAATACACAAAATGATTCAGTCCCATAAATTCTTATAAAGCAATACTTTTTGAAAGGCCATGTTTTAAAATTCCAGTTTTTAAGTGTATATAGTAACTGTGTGCGTCTGTCTCATTTGAGGAACCTGTTCTGGGGGAGTTTGTGTTTGTACCACTTCTGTAGGGCGCACCTGAACCTGAGCTTGTGCCTGCTTGGCCTTCTTGCGGGCAGCATCACTCTCAGCATAGTACATCCCTAGTCTAGTTTTGATAGCTGCCAATGCTGCTCCATTAATTTCATCATGGAATATATTAGTGTACCTCCACTGCTTAACCAATGGACCTCTTTTCTTTTCTTTCTTAATTTTCTTTTCTGGTTTTGTATCAACATGATGATGCATCATTTCAGTTGTAGTAGTATGTGTGTAAGGGTTATCTATTGTGATAGTGGAGTGTTGTGGGGGCTCAGGTTTAGCTTGCAATACAATGAATGCTGTGGTCGGCTGTGCAGGCCTTGGTGCAGATTGCAGTAAAATACCCATGCTTTGTCCTCCATTAGGTGTTTGATAGAAATTAGTTGCTGGGGCTGTAGTCAATGTAGCTGTCTGATACTGATTTTGGAAATAGTTTTCAGCTATATTTACCAGATGACCACTTCCTGGATATGCAATGGGAGCCAAAGCCTCTTGTGTAATTTGAGGTTCCTGCTGTGGTTGCTCCACTTGTGGGACTAGCTCCATGCTTCTTTTAGATCTAGGCATAGTAGCTGATATGTTATCAGGATCAAAAGTCTTAATGTAATCTTTCCACATTTTCGAAATATTTATTTCCAATCCAGCAATTTTGTCCAATCTGATGAAATCTTTTAGTCTATGTGTGTGAACAATAGAATAAATGTGATTTCTTATTTGATCTAGCATTCCAGATGGCAGACGAACCTCTCCACTACGGCGGTGACTATTTTTACCTCGGTTGTCACTAGGAAACATAACACCATCATCCATCTTCTTACATAGAACTCTGACTTTTCTTTCAGTGATAGCATGTATATTTTTGAAGGCTGTTTGGCACACCTGAGTTTCTCGCCCCTTTACTCTGACGAAATATTCAAACGTGCAAGTACGACGACTACTTGATTTAACTCTTTTTCTCTTGACATCAACTTGTCTCATTAGTCCAAACAAATAAGCATTTTGTTCGTCGTGAGTTTTCATGGAGTAGAATCCTTGAAATGTTTTTAGTCTAATATCTTCAGGAACCTTCTGAAAGCATTGTCTTCGACAGTTGCAATCGGGACCCGGTCGTTTTGGTGGTACCACTTTCCCATTTGCGTTTATATATTCTAAGCCAGCTATTCTTAGCCGCTTTTGTTTTTGTTTGTGCCATTCTGTAAATATTAAATAAATATTATAAGCGATTCACAGATTTCAATACCAAAACTTGATTACAGTTTTCTATACAAAATAATATACCTTGCGTATATATACATCCAACAATAAAAGAAATATTGTACAAATAAGCAAAAGCTTCAGTGTTTATTATGTTTTACTATCAAATAAAGTCAAGCAAACAGTTTCGAAACATTCAAGTAGTTTCACAAAAATGTAGTAAGGTAATAAGAGTCAAAAACTGGGTAAAGTAATGCAGACATAACAATGAGAACAATGTATGAATAAAAGTAATGAGAGGCAATAAACGATTCCTATTTGAGAGCTACGAATAAATTAACACTTGCCTTCTGGATTCCTTAGACGTCTTTTAACGATTTTCCCGTTTTTAGTAAACTTCACTTTGCGATCATTATTTGAGACATCAGCCATTTTCGTATCAAAGCACAATGTTGAAATATGCTGTGGCTCACATCCATAGCATCGTAACAACCACAAACTTATGAGGTGTAACTAAACGCAACTGAATATGAGAAACTTTAACAAATAACAAAACGCTATTCTTATGTTTTTTGGAGAAAATACCAAAAAATAATTACAAATGAGGATAGAACTAGTTAATTATACTTACTTTTACAATTACCACATTTTTTCTAGAAACTACAAGATGCATGAATAGTCTAAACATAACAGCGAATGTATTGAGAATTTGAGATGAACTTTGATAATTATGGCAACTACACTCTGTTCATTTTGACGTTTTCTTTCACTAACACGTCGTTGACGTCATTCAGATGACGTACTTCAAAGACGTACTTTGACTCATAATCAGTCAACCAGCTTCAAACATTAAGGTTTCCGAGAATAGAGATATAATAATTTGGGTATAATACGCTCTGCAGCTTTCCATCGAGCCAGATTTGAAGTATTAATCGAGGTGTGAAGTGATAGTTGCTGCAACTACTATCGTGGAAATTACATTCACCTAAAGAGGTTTCAGTTAGACGGTAAAGCAAACAGGTGAGCGATGTGCTTAAAGTTATTACTGTTACTATATGTACTCTATGTTAGATTAAATTGCTAAGTGATACTCAAGGTGAATTACTGGATAAACAATAATTTGTTTTTAATGCAGTGTCCGTTGTTTAATCTACAGAAACATCTAGTATATTGTAATAGTTAGATTTTTAGTGAAGCCACCAGCAGATATTATTTGTGAAGTGCATTATTAACCGGTTTACTTTAATATATAAAACAGATATTATTAGTTAAGTGTATAGGTAACAGGTTTACTTGTAATTGTACAAATTATTATTGATATTTGGATCCAAACTTGAATTATCAAGAGATAAAACAAATAGATAACGAGTTGCTACGATGTAAATAAACATTACAATATACCTAATTGTCGATTTCATGTCTTGTAATCTTGTTAAATAACTTGTGCACAAAGTAGATAGACAAACATCTGCATTTGTTAGATCTGTCTTTCTAGAGCAAATGTACCTATTATATATTATTTTAATTGTTTAGTTCTTAACATGTTTTACTTAATAATCTTTATTGTTACAGATAGAGATGTCGTTCCAATCACCAATGCCAAGCCGAGAGTTCCTTTGGGATGTGTTCAGAAGGTAAATAACTTTTTAATGTATTTAGTTACTTATTTTATGTGACAGTGGTTCGGTAACAAATGATATAACACAACATAACAACAATAATAAAACAGAAAAAAGTAAAAGAGAACTCAATTAACCATGGTATTTGGCTAATTGTGATTTATGACTCATTCTGTTTTTGTAAGTATTGCATCATATTTAGTATCCACGACTGAGCCACAAACCATGGAGGTTAATTGACCTTATACAAAAAGCCACTTAAGTAAAAATGTTTCCTGGTTTTAATTCAATTGGTTTCCTTTAAAACATTAACTACAGTTTATAGAATCCTATTTAATCTATATTAATAATTATAATATATTAATGTAATCGTTAATAGAATATATTTCTAAATATTATTAATTTTTATACTGATATCTATAAGCAATTTAATTCAATGAACAATCTTTGTTTTAATAGCTTTTATGGATTCTCATATAGATAAAAAATTAAATCCTTACTAGTATTATAAATTGGAAAGTGAGTCTGCTTTCATGCCGTAACTACTAAACCGATTGCTTTGAATTTGTGCAGACGTAAAGTTAGAAGTCTGGATTTATCCAGGAAATTTTTCCGGGATAAAAAGTACCCTATTATTTATTATAGGGTACTTTTTATCCCGGAAGAATTTGATATTCCTTTTTATCCGTTTGTCGCAGGTAAAAGCTAGTAATACAAATAAAAGAAACTACATAATATAATTTTGGTTTATGGTTATTCACAGAGTGGACAAGGACCGCAGCGGCTATATATCAGCTGATGAGTTACAACAAGCTCTGTCCAATGGAACATGGAATCCATTCAATCCTGAAACTGTCCGTCTTATGATTGGTAAGCACCAGATTTATATGTAAATATTTTTAAATAACTATGAATTATAAATATGTAGTATAGATATTGAAAGTATTGCCTGATTTTTGCCTCACATGTACAACTGCCATTTTCCAACGGATGGAAAGTATTTATGGAATAATGATTGTTCATTATTACTCATATCTTCCTGTGTTATACAAAATAATAAATAATGTTGTGTCAGTGTAAAGACTTGTTTATTTATCTACGAGTACGTTATTGATTTATTAAATTTAAAAAAAAATGTGTTTGACTAGTAAGTCAAAGGTATACTAAAATATTATTTAATTAAATTAAATATCAGATGAAAATGTTGAAAATGTTTTGCTGTAAATAAATTCAGTACCAAAAGAGTGATATAACCATAACAATATTTTTTACAAATTCCAGGTATGTTTGACAAACAGAATAGAGGTGTGATCAACTTTGAAGATTTTGGCGCACTCTGGAAATATGTGACTGACTGGCAGAACTGCTTCCGATCCTTCGACAGAGACAATTCAGGAAACATTGATAAGATGGAGTTGAAGAATGCACTCACAGCATTTGGGTACAGATTGTCAGATGAAGTTGTAAACATTATGGTACAGAAGTTCGATAGATTTGGCCGCGGGACCATCTTGTTTGATGATTTCATCCAGTGCTGTGTCACTTTATATGTAAGTATATATTTTGTGGCAAACCACAATTTTCAGGATTGAGTTACTGATCTATCATTGTACCATTGACTCATTGCGATTTGAGTAACAATAAACAAAAGTATAATACTTATCTTCGTTATACAAATTTTAATTTAATTTTAATGGTCTTTGATTTCAGACTCTTACGTCAGCGTTCCGCCAATTCGACACAGACCAAGATGGAGTAATAACTATTCACTACGAACAATTCCTTAAGATGGTCTTTGGATTAAAGGTAAAAGTATAAAATGTGTCTATTGAGAATCTCTTATATATGATCGAATCAGACACAACTTTTGCAACATACGAACCTCCCATCTATCCGCACTTTCTGTTCCCAAACGTCCCAGTGACATGAATGCTTGGAGTCTCTTGAAATTGCATCCACACTCATTCCCTGAGCAAGGCCACAGCTTTAACTTGCGGTGTGGAAACTTAATCGAATGAAGAAAGCATGCTAGAATGCAGCCTTTTGCTGATTTATACTATTTAACGACTTGAGGCTGATTTTTTACAAAAATAGATTCAACTTTTTTACAAAATTTTCTATATAAATGTAGCTCTAGCTTAGTTCACGTTAAAGTTTTGTTTTGCATTCTTCTGCAGTCGTAGTTGATGTACCAACATAATATTTTCTGTAATAAGTATTTAAGCTTGTTGTATATTCATGTGAATAAAGACAAAAGTATAACTTTTTGCGTGTTTTGTGATATAAGAGACATTGTTGTTCTTTCTGTTGTATGCCGACGTCATTAGTTAATTGCTGTACCTATTAGCGGGAACTCCAATTTTCTAATGTTAAAACTTGTCTGAAACATATTACAGTAATATGGTCATAATTTCATTAGACAATAGGCTAACAATTAACTAAATTCAGCTTTATTGGTTCACAACAGAGGTAGCATCAATGTATAGTAGTGCTATATATTATGAATGTTATTTGTCTACTTGTAAATCTTTATATTTTGTGTAACTGTATTATAGGTCTGAATACTATGTGTAATATTAATCTATAGTCTCTACGTGTGTTTAAGTACAGAAACTGAGGTCTTCCTTGTCTCGTGTCTAAAGTCTAGCTCAAAAATACTCAAACACTATGTGTCATATAAACATAAAGGCTTACCTTACACCTAGAGGAACGATCTTCTCTTAAAAGTGAATGTTTCTTCCTCCTATGTATCTTATACTAAAAAATTAAATTACTTATGGTATCTAATAAAGGTAGTTGGCTGGTAACCTAAATATGAAAATGTTGCTATTGAATTATGAAAAACACATATTAAGTACAAAATTTATAATTCAACTGGCACATTCTACCAGTTAATGTGTACTAGACCATCTTTAATAACAACTAAAGAGCTATGTTTACTTATTTGAATTGTTCAGTATTTTTAACCAAATTGTATTCGTGGTGCCGTTCAAAATTTTTATGTTTTTAAGCATTAGATTAAGTAATTTTAATTGGAAATTGTACTATGTGTTGATGCACTAATAGGAGAATTTCTCTTTGGTTCAGTGTTTGCCGTAAACATCGCAGTTGACAAGGTTCCGGAAAACTGTTTCGTCACTCATACCCACCAATTAAATAAAACTATCAAAGGTAATTAACATACTCGGGTAACAAAAATTGTCTCAAATACACTTATTTTTCAGTAGCAGATGCATAATTCCTTTTAGCCCGTAGCTAAAAATAGTTGCTTTAATCTTCGCTATGCATACCTTTTTGAATTCGACGAATTTTCAATGCTCAAAAACAACATTTTCGAATATTATCTGATTTTAAAAATTTAGCCAAAACTTTATACTGATAGGAACAAAGTGATCTAAATTAGAAGATCTTATTTGGTTTATATTATCTAGATTTGAAACTAAAGCTCAAAATCTATTTGTGCCTGTCATTTGCATTTTGTGTAACCTTCCTAACTTAAGACCACGGTTTTAAAATATTTTATAAGATAAAGTGTATGTGTGTATGTTGTTGTACTTATTGTATGTGTGTATTCATATATATTTCTAATCAATGATCAATCATGTATGTTTATTGTAAATACAAACTGTGCAGTGTTATTTTCAATAAGTTACTAGGACTGCTGACTTGTGGGAAAATCTATAATCATGTCTATTTGATAGATGTTAATATTTTTTAAAGGGTTTTTAAGTCTGATGTACACACATTTATGTGTTATTATTCAATATAGATGTCTTACTAACAACAAAGTTTGGCGTACTAATTAAAAATACCACTGTAATAATCTTACCTATAAAGTTAAATAAGTACATAAGATTATTTCTACTCCAATTCCATCTGCAAGGTAAATGTTGATCAGTGTAACTGTAGGAATATTTGAGTGCAGATGTAAAAAATATTAAAATATCATATATTTTTTATTTTACGAATGACATTGCATTTCCTATTTATAGTTTAAAACTGTATTTATAGCTGTATAACTTTTTAACTTGTATTGTTATTATTTTGTTACTTCGGTCCAGCTTATAAAGTATGATTATGTGCAATGTGCATTGTTGTGTATGTTCTCTGTTCTGGGTAAAAGACTACAAATAAAAGTTTATAAATAAGCGCCTATTATTTTATTGATAATCTTTTTTGTTTTATTTTTAAAGTGCATGTGGACACTGCTATTATACTTAAAGTAAATGAAAATTTAGACACAGGTTATAATACCTTGATTATGCTAGTTCAAATATAACTAGGAAAAAAGTATCAAAATATAGTTCTATTCTTTCTTCAGACTTTTTATTTTCCAAGCTCCAATGGTGTATTTGAGCCAGATGAGGCCAAGGTCACAGCCCATTTGGATCCAGGATAACACTGGAGTCACTTTGGATCCTTCTATTTCCGTCCATCTGACTGGAATCTCAGCAATTGGAATGTTTAGTGTTTGTGCTATGTACAGTAATTCTACGTCAAATGCCCTGCAACAAGAAATAATGAGTTATTTCATATATTATAATAAAATAGTCAAAACATTCACGAGAGACAATTACACGAGAGGCGATTACAATAACTATTTAGAGATAAAGAGTCAGTGGAGATTGTAAATTCTCCATTAGTTACTGGAAATGATACATAATAATAATATGACAGAATTAAACTCGAGCAGGTAGTGCTATGCAATTACAGAATAAAGTTATTAGTAAATCGCCAAACCTGTCGTCGAATGTACGAGGAAAATTGATAACTATTTTCAACACACATGAATATGTGGATATAATATTTCGATCAATAAGAAGTAATAATAACTTCAAAGTTCTGTATTTTATAATGAACAAAAAAAGTAAATAAACCCACATTATTTTTTATCGCAATAACAGGAAAATATGATAAAAAGTCAGGGAATGTTGTTTCAGACTTCTATCTCTATTCTATCGAATGCGCGCAAGACAGGAAAATGCACATTGTGCGTCATCTTATATTTTAGGTTATTGTACCCCACTATCATTCGAAAGAATCCGGGCAGGATTTGGCAGGGAACATTTTATTTCAGTCATAATAAAATGCTTTCCCTTTTTCATTGCTCTATTTATAAATATAAATCTTTAGGCATAGTGATAGTATGTCTAGTCTAGGTAGGTATATATGTATACCAGTTACAATTGTTTATGAGTGGGATTATTAGGGCTTCTAGAAAAACTTACCATCTGTTTACATGTAAACTTTTGAAACAGATGTTTGCTGCTTTCCTAGTGAACAGTTTGAACCCGCACTGCGTGTCTCTCACACCTTTGACAGTGAACAGCCATACGAGGAAGTGGAACCCATACATCAGAATATTCCTGAAAATAAAAAAAAACAATGATTTCATGATAATGTTTATGTTGTTTAAAAGGTAGTTAGTAATTATAGTAGGTTGGATTTTTTGGGTATTTCAATATTGGCATTCTCACAGATAATAAGTGTGGAATGTTTACCAGTAGAATCACCTTTTGTTATTTAATAGCTAATAGCTGATGAAAAGTGGTATTTAAAAGCTATCAAAGGCTACAAGAAATCCGACTCCATATTGTTACTTCAAAAATCTATTTCTGTCAAATAAATATTCTGAGATCGAGATAGATAAAGTTCGCGGCGCCCACTTTAATATCAGTAATATGGATATCCTGTATTTAGGCATAGTGATGTCATTTTCATTTGTTAACTGATGCACAACATTAATGAATAAATACTGTTATCGTTTGATCAACGAGATAACGTACTCGCATCCTGAATACAATCAATGTATTAAAATAAATGTAGTTAAGTTTTATGATTACGCATTTTCGCTACCAAAAGAGCGTCAAAAAGTACTGAAGTATTTCTTTTTAATACATATTTCGCGCCTTTTATTTTAAAACGGATGTAAGGCGAGGCGTATGTTTCAAATGTAACATTCATTTACCTATCACAAATTGAGACATTTACCACCCACAGTATAATTTTCAAACTTGCTTTCTATTGTGGAGAATCTTCGAAAATTGAAAAATTTGATAATATTTTATTGGCCCGACACCAACTCGAGACTTGCGAGTACACTACTAAGGCAATTTCATGACTTTGAGATTAATAAATTTTCCTGTTATACCAAATTTAATTATGCTTTGTTGTAAGTAAAAGTCCACCAAGTAATAGATAAGAGAATAATTTCTTACCTAAAAACACTGCGAGTAGCCAAGGACTCCTTCTCGAGATGTGCTCTAGAGCCAATCACAACGGCTATACTGTTGCTAACATCCTTAGGTTGGAGTACTGGGTCATAACTTAGCTCCTTCAGCGCTGCTTCTAATTTTGTTAGGTCTTCAAACTTAGATGCTCCGTCTGCATCAGCAAACAAGATACTGGCTCCTCGGCAGCTTTCTATACCCTACAATATTATTTTTATTAAATACATATACACTATATCAAAATAAGTGTAATTAAATATAAGGTTTGGTATCACTGAATTGATGTACCATCTAAGGCTACTACTTATAAGTATAGAAAACATTACAATGATAATGAAAAAGCAATTTTTTCAAATATTAATCATAGAAAAATACTTTTTACAAAATGCCTACTGTTTTTTTTACCTATATGCAGAGAATATTTTCTACACAAATTTTTGTTCATCCTAATATAATTAATTAATATCTCACCAATCGAACAGCACCTCCCTTCCCTCTGTTTTTAATAAGTTGCAGGCACCTAATTTTCTCACTGCATGTTTTTCAGCATATTTCTGAGCTACTTGGACAGTCTTGTCTCTGCTACCATCGCTGACTACTATTATTTCATATTTGTATGAAGGGTGCTCCTTCACTCTGCATTCCAAAAAGTCTATAGCCTCATCGAGCATTGGTGGTACTGACAACAGATTATACAATTTAATTTCTTTTAATTATTAATATGTGGGGAATAAAACAATATGTTACTGACAAAGACACTTGTTTTTACTTGGTTTTAAAGTTAACTATTTTTATATTTCAGTTAATTACATACATAACCTCATGCCTGTCTCCCATTGGAGAGTTAGAGACTATGGAACAGCAGCAATTGCTACGATTCTTACAAACTTACCAAATTTCAGGGATTTATATCAGGTGATTGTGTATGAATTAAAGTAAAAAAAGAAATGTTTAATTGAGAACCTTTTTTTATATAATGTGATATTAACTTACATCGGTCTTGTTCATTGTAAGCTGGCACTATCACACTCAGGTGTACACTGTGAGGCTCCTCAATGTTGGGAAACCTCATTCTGCTGTTACTTTTAGGATCATTATACATTTTCTCTTCTTCAAATCGTTCCATTTCAGGGTACGGGTTTGTTACCAGGTAAATTATGATGCTTATCTACAATGAATTAAATTTATAACTTTCGTGAGACATCCTAAATTAATTATTATGTTTTTCGGCTTACAAGCCATGCTAGAGGCATATTCATGAGTAGCATTCCGCGACCCACGACGCGTCGACTGTCGCGCTGTTACACTGGCTACTCGAGTCTGCTGCGATGCGGGTTCAGTGCAACCTAGGGCGTGATTTTGGCACCAGACGTGACAGTGAGCCTCTAGCTTGGCTTGAAACTAGTTGATGTCGTCAAATAATTACGTGAGTTAGCCGAAAAACATAATAAATATATTAAATAGGATTAGGTAAATATTATGACCACCAGAAAATACTTTGTTATTCTGTTTTTTTACCAAAAATATATCTAGCCTCGTCGCCTTGATCTACATATTTTATATTAAACTGTGGTGCTAATTTGGTGATCATTTACTACGTTTAGGTTCACAATGATTTATTTGAAATAATTTTGATTAAATAGGACAGTGAAATGTTAAAACTTTGGTTATAATTTTACATTGAATGTGGGTTTGATTTTGGTGATCCTTTACAATTTTGTTCTGTATTGTCTGGTGGTAAGTTAAACATAAGCCATATTAAATTATTAAAACATTAGGTACTTGATATTATTTATATTAACATGAATTAAATAAAACTTGAAAATTCACTTTACTCAACAAGTTTAGGTATATATTCTTATTTTAATATTTGCCAACGAGACACTTGTTCCACACAATTTAATGTTTAATTTTGTTGTTGTAAGTACTTACCGTGATAAGTAAGGTTATAGCCGCTGCTAAACCGTATGTAATAATGATCCATAGAAATACTAAAAAGTCCATCGTATTACTTATAATTACTACTTTTTAATTAAAATTATTATCCTATCTAGTGTACACAATTTTATGCTTGGAGATTAATCATTCATATCAAAAACACCGACTGTATTGTCAAACTTACAAAGTGACAGTGACAAAATCAAGTATCAACTAACCGTCACGTCACGAGCTCATGACATTACTTTTGATTTGATAACGTTTTATTATCAAAAACGCTAAAATATTTAGTGTTAAAAATGTCAACAATAAATTAAAATAAATGCAATTAAAGTCCAAACATAACTGTACTTCCTAATTTCTTAAAGATTTCTTCGCAGTCAAAATGAGCTGTAAAGTGCCCCAACATCTACACCATGTGATAGTCCTCTGTTGGACATTGGATATATTCTACCTACGAGGGTTTGACATAATCCTCACGCTTGGCAGATGGTTAAGAGATAAGAGGTCTGCTGTTTGTAGCGTTCATGGAGACCAGTGCCGTAACTAGCCTTCTAGGCGCCCGGTGCGAGCTTTCAAAACTGCGCCCTTGAAAAATGTCCTTACCAGGCTCTGACAATAAAATTGAGAAATGTGCATGAAAATATAATTGTTTATTGTTTACCAAGTTATAGGTCGGTACTTAGTAGATGTTTTAAGACAATTCGTTGCTGCCATTCCGCCATGAGATCGCGCCGGAGCTCTTCCCCCCCCCCCCTCAAGCACTTATCTGACCTCATTGTCAATGTCGGCAAGCCAGACCGGTGGTATCACCCAGGCCTGCACGATAGCGGCTTCCAGGAGCAGCTCCCGATCCAGCTGTTTCAGCGCCCAACGCGGGCCACATGGGGCCTGTCTGTCTCCATAACGCGAAAGTCAACGATACGCGGTGACAGAGCAGGGCTGGCGAACGAAATATTCACCACCGACTCGCCCTACATCCGCACGCACGTGGGGATAGAACCCCGGTTCAGGATGACTAGGCCTGCCTCAAGGGCCCAGTCTTCCACCATCCTACCCCGGACGTTGGTGAACCGGGAACCCCAAGCCAAGTTTTTGGCATTGAAGTCCCCGAGGACGAGCACGGGGAGGGAACGGAACCCAACGACGACGGTGACCAACTGCCTCAAGGAGTTGTGGAACTCAGCGAGAGTTCGGTTTGGAGAGAAGTACACGCCCACCACAGCGAGCTTTCCGAACCGTGCTGCGACACAACCCCGGCCTCTTTGAGCAGCCTCAAGAGTCGGGGTACCGGTGGCGGCCGACGAGATGATGGTCACCGAGCCGTCCAGGTCCGCCACCCAGTGATCCCTGGGCGGGACAAAGTAAGGCTCGAAGATCACGGCGACGTTATTAACAGTCCATCCCGACCTCCTCAGTGGCGGCAGCGGTGACTGCGGCGGCAGTAGCGGCGGCGGCGGAAACAACAGGGGCGGCAGAGGGCCTTCCTTTGCTCTTGGGTTTGGCAGGACGCAGCCCTTGCTCCCGACCCGGTGATTGGGCAGCCTGCCAGCCTCTGCACATGCGTTGCAGTGCAGCGGGGCGGGGCACAAGCCGGTCTTTTTATCGGGCTGACCGCAGCGGAAATAGGTAACAGTCGCTGCGGTCCACCTCCGAGGTGCATTTGGCGCTCACGTGCTCCCCCACGTGACCTGCGCCGAGGCCAAGAGCCTCGCGCAGGCGCCGCGAGCATAGACGCCACCGGCGCAGCCGGGGTCGGGGGCGCCGTTGCCCAAAGTTATAGGTACTTTTGTTTGTGTATGTAATATTGCGAGCAAGACTTAAAGTGGATATACATTTGTCTGATGTGAAGTGAGTCGTTTGACATGTGTTGTTGATTCAAGATCGTTTAAAAATGCGATACAGATTTAGATAGTACAGTCTGGTCATTTCTGCGCCCCTCCAGGGTCTGCGCCCTGTGCCTGGGCACCGCTGGCACCGCCCTATTTACGGCGCTGATGGAGACCAACCGAAAGTGCTTCAAGCCGCGGGAAGCACCTAGATACCGGTTATCAAAGTGAGAATAGAAATAGAATGCTGTAAGTATATTATATTGTATGCAGTAATTTTTTACCTGCTTTTCCCTCTACTGCAAAAGTGATCAGGTAGGTATTCGTTTGCCCAAACTTGGGCTGGGTACTAGCCAACGATGATGGTATATCATAAAGTAGTGTAGGAGGTAGGATTATTACTGGCTACTGGTACCGTGAACAGATATAATGAGGGCACGTTAACTTACACTTTGAATTTATTGGGCGTTGAGGGTGGGTTACGGCATACGGAATAGAAAGCGGGTGGTCAGGCACCTTGCTGAGTTTGTAAGGTTTGTAAAAGTTGTTACTAAAGTGACACCAACACAAAGTCAAAATGACAAGTTAGTACAGATTGTGTAGACATTAATTCTGCTTTGATGTACTTAATTTATGCTGAGTTCTGTTCTGAGCTTCGATGGTCGATGGTCAATTGATCGTAAGTGGGATTGTTCAAGCAGTAAATCTCATTTATTTTCGAGGCCCAGACTGAGATAAGTACCTATTTATATTACCTGCTTTTTAAGCACATTGATCTAATGAGGTTTTTCAAATTTTGAAATTCTAGTAAGGTAGCAAATGGGCACCAATAGGTGAAAGGCTTGCAATGGTATTAAAAGTCTACGACTGACAGTTCTATCTACCCCATCAGAAAATAATGGCTGTTGCTGTTACATTTATGTTATGTGGCAGTCTTTAGTTCAGTTCTTATCAGATTCGGATGAATGTCAGCACTAAAAAATATTGACGGTACTCGTTAAGTAAGCCTTAACAATACTTCAGGATCATTGCTTGTCGTAGTCTCGTCGACCTCGTGAAAGGACGTTCTGATGACTACCTACCCTTATGCATTCTCAGACATGTCAAAAAGAAGCACTTAGCTTTGGGTAAAAGTAAATAAATAAAAATAGATCTTCCGATTGATTTCGATCATGGTGGCAAGTTTAACTAGACTAGATTATAATAGAGTATAAGTGTGTGCGCGAACACAATGTGTCCTCTCTGGTCCCACAGGCGCAGGGCCAAAGGCTTCAAGTGCTTTCCGAGGCACGGGGTTGAAACACTGCCGCACTTTCATTTTACTCAGTAAAGGCCATTATCACTTTTTGGCTAGCACAGGAATCAAACCCTCGACACGTTGTACAGCAGCCGATCACTCAGATATGAGCCAGGTACCTATCTATCATTAATAGATACATTATAAACGATTTAGTCGATTTTGTTCGGATGAAGGAATCAATAAAACAACGTCCTTAGCTTTGTTTCTTTAATAAAGTCGATTTATAAATTATTCTTAATTCAACTAAACATACCAACAATTTTAAAATAGAACATAATTGTTGCGAAACAAAAGAAAAACAATATTAATGTTAAAGTACAATGTGGTACTTTAGAGTTGAAAAATGAACAAAATGCGTTTTAAGTTAGACTTAACTACGTATATGCTACAGACATAGATATACCTAATGAGGATATTCCCACCTTACACTTTGTATTTGTAATTTGTCTATGTCAAGTATTTTTTGGCGTATGGATATATCATTATTTACGAACTCTTCACAATCACAACAGCTTTCATATGTGCACACCGCTTATAAACTAAGTATTTAACTACAAAACTGTGTACTTATGTACTTGTAGGTTTTATGCAAGTATTAGGTACGTACCTATATGTATCAAAATTACTATTTCTTTAAAAAGAACTTAATTAAATCGAAGGTTTAGAAAAGTAACGTTACTCAACAAATTTTACATAGTACCTATGAATTCAGCAACCCAGCCAGTCCCGCCATTGTTCATAGTGGTGACAAATACTATCTTTACATAATTATTGCTGCTCGTGTAGTCTGCAGGCAATTCCTCGCAGAATGTTCGTACCACAACTCCATTGCTGTCTACAAGCTGGACGTAATTCTGGTCACATGTAATCCCTAAGTCGAACACAGGGAAGCGTAACATTAAGTGAGTACCTACCGGCGTCTCAAGCTCCCACTCGCAGGTTGACACACGCCTGTAAACATTGGGATACATAGGACTGGTAACTTTTCCTTCTACGGTGTGCAGTTTCCCACCACAGCCGCGTCCTTTATTAGTTGTAACGTAAACCATATCGAATGTAACACGGTCGCCATTGTTTTCGTGGTTGTGCAATAGCAGATATCTACCAGTCGAGAAGATAGGCTTATTACCCTCATAACTTGTAGCAATTCTTACTAGTCTAGGCGCATTTGAGTTCTTTCCATCATATACATCAACGTAGCTGTTTTCGTTCCAGTAATCTGGGGCCGCGTTAAATATATATGCGGATATTGTATAGTTTTCTGGAGCAGTTATCAGGGTGTAACAGTCGCTTAGTGGGGTAGCAGAATCAGAGTAGCCAACAAATACAGCCTGTACGCGGCCGTACGGTTCCGTATAATTTCTTCCACAGAATCCTGCAAATACCACTTCTATATCCACACCTTTGTGAACTTTGGAATCAGTTATTGATGAGGTGATTAAATTAAGTTTTACAGCTCCATTGAGATACAAATCCGAAGGCTCTTTACGCCCGCAAAACTCATATGTTTGGGGTATATACAGGGCACTATCGAAGAAAGAATTACGATTAATGATATCTGAACCCTGGTAATTGACGATAAAATCTTTTCCAAGGGTAATATTCGGATTACTAGCAGTGGAAGAGATAACTAGCTTGTCCCTATTGCAGTACGTTTTGTTCTCACTGTCAGTAACGGCGGGTTGTAAGTCTAAATCTTTAATAGTTAAAACAATCAAACTGTATGGAGACGCACTGTTGTCCAAGTGATAAGAACAGTGAAGACCTCGAGGTATAGCTCCTGCTTCGTCATACCTCGGGGACTTAAAGCGTTGTGGCGTCTGACTGACTGTGATGACGGAGGTCCCGCATACTGATCGCTGTGCCGTCAACGTGGCTTCGAAGCCTTGACTTCCAATGGCACTATCTGTGGACAGCGTCACGCCCATTATATTTTT